CACATGCGGGCTCGTGCTCACATCATCACAGTCAAACAGCGTCTGGTTCAGACTGAACGTCACTGTTTCGCAGTTGTCGCTCGATGACACAACAAACGTCGTTCGCCATCAGCACAGCCTGCCCCAGTAATGCCAACCTCAACCGTAATGCTGCTCACTGTCGTCATCACAGGTGCATCCTGATCCACAACCGTCACATACGTCCGCGATGTCGCCGTGTTCCCAGACGTGTCCGTCGCTGTCACGGTCACAGGAATCACACTGCTGATGTTCCCGCACGTGAACGTGTCAACATCAAGGTCGACGCTCGCAACTGCGCAGTTGTCAGCGCTCGAAGCAGACAGGCTGCCGCTCGTGATGACGCCGTTGCCATTGCCGTCAAGCACAACAGTATAGTTCGCAACGCTGCTCACAGTGGGCGACTCGTTGTCAGTCACAGTCACTGCAAGCGTGTCCGTGCCAGTGTTCGAGCTCGGATCCGTCGCCGTCAGCGTGATCGTCACGCCGCTCAGATCAGCGCACGTAAACAGCGACTGCGACAGCGTCACATCAGCACCGCAGTTGTCGCTCACAGAGTCATACGTCGAGCCAACAGACACCTCATACTCGCCACTGCTGTTCAGGAACACCTCAAGGCTCGCAACAGCCGTCACAACAGGAGACTCGTTGTCCTCAACAGTCACCGTCACAGTCGACGAGTCAGTGTTGCCGCTCGTGTCCGTCACAGTGCCAGTCACAGTCTGCGCACCAGTGTCGGCACACGTAAACACATCCCAGTCAGCCTCAACGCTCGCAACAGCGCAGTTGTCAGCGCTCGACGTCACAATCTCCCCAGTCGTCAGACCATACTGCCCAGTGCTGTTCAGCGAAACACTGAACGCGCCAGCAACAGTCAGCGTCGGAGACTCGTTGTCAGTCACAGTCACTGCAAGCGTGTCCGTGCCAGTGTTCGAGCTCGGGTCCGTCGCCGTCAGCGTGATCGTCACGCCGCTCAGATCAGCGCACGTAAACAGCGACTGCGACAGCGTCACATCAGCACCGCAGTTGTCGCTCACAGAGTCATACGTCGAGCCAACAGACACCTCATACTCGCCACTGCTGTTCAGGAACACCTCAAGGCTCGCAACAGCCGTCACAACAGGAGACTCGTTGTCCTCAACAGTCACCGTCACAGTCGACGAGTCAGTGTTGCCGCTCGTGTCCGTCACAGTGCCAGTCACAGTCTGCGCACCAGTGTCGGCACACGTAAACACATCCCAGTCAGCCTCAACGCTCGCAACAGCGCAGTTGTCAGCGCTCGACGTCACAATCTCCCCAGTCGTCAGACCATACTGCCCAGTGCTGTTCAGCGAAACACTGAACGCGCCAGCAACAGTCAGCGTCGGAGACTCGTTGTCAGTCACAGTCACTGCAAGCGTGTCCGTGCCAGTGTTCGAGCTCGGATCCGTCGCCGTCAGCGTGATCGTCACGCCGCTCAGATCAGCGCACGTAAACAGCGACTGCGACAGCGTCACATCAGCACCGCAGTTATCGCTCACAGAGTCATACGTCGAGCCAACAGACACCTCATACTCGCCACTGCTGTTCAGGAACACCTCAAGGCTCGCAACAGCCGTCACAACAGGAGACTCGTTGTCCTCAACAGTCACCGTTACAGTACCAGCGTCGGTGTTTCCGCTTGTATCCGTGGCCGTTGCTGTCACGACCACTGTGCCAACATCACTGCATGCCACTTGGTTTTTGCTGAAAACCAGGGCGTTGATGGCGCAGTTATCTGTGTAGCTCGCGACAATGTCACTTGTGTCGAACTCATACAGGCCGGAGCTGTTGAGTGAAACGGTAAAGTCAGCCTGCATGGTGACAACGGGATTGAGCATGTCATCAACGCGCACAAGGACGGTGTCGTTGCCCGTGTTGCCTGCCTCATCCTCAATTAGCACGAGCGTTGTTGAGTCGCCAACGTCGTCGCAGGTGAACAGGCTCTTCTGCAGCTGGGTTGTGTAACCACAGTTCTCAACAACGGAGACGATGGCGCTTCCCGTGTCAAGCTCGATGTAACCGGTGGCGTTGAGATCGAGACCGATTCGGAACACTTGAGCGTTGACCACGGGTATCTGTGTATCCTGCACGTTGACAGTGGCCGTCTTTGCGTTAGTGTTGCCGTTGACGTCCGTCACCGTCACGGTGATCGTGTTCGCACCGAGGTTGGAGCACGTAAACGCCGTGGTGGAGACTATGGTGCTGGCAACGCCACAGTTGTCTGTCACAGATGAGGACACGTCACCCGATGTGATGCTGCCGTCGCCGTTGGCATCCAAGACGACAGTTGTGTTGTTGATGTCAAAGGTGGGTGCTGCCGCATCCTGCACCGAGACCTGCGTGGTGGCTGTGGTTTGCAAGCCGCTGCTGTCTGTGACCACGATGCTGATGGTATGTGAGCCGACGTGGGCGCAGGTGAACCCGTCCTGGGACAGGGAGGTGGCGGCAACGGCGCAGTTGTCGCTGTAGCTGTCCGTGACGTTGGCAATGGTGATGTTGGCGATGCCTTGATCTGCGGAGAGGCTGAGCGTCAGCGGTGCGGCGGGGACAAGAATGGGCGCCGTGGTGTCCTGCACTTCCACACGGAAACCCATGCTTGCCGACTGGCCCTGTGCATCTGTGACGGTGAAACTCAGCGTCTGGTTGCCCGTGTTGTCGCACGTGAAGGCGGTCTGGTTCACGGCAACTTGGGTGATGGCGCAGTTGTCGGAGCCAACGTACGTGATGTCTGCGGCATCCAGCGCGGCAACGCCGCTCGAGTTGAGAGTGAGCGTGTACGCGTCCACAGACTGCAGTGTAGGGTCGGTGTCATCGGACACCGTGATGGACGTGGTGCGGGTGACCTGGTTGCCTGATCCGTCTGTTGCAGTCACGGAGACGGACTGCGTGCCGACGTCGGAGCAGGTGAACGTCTGGCTGGAGGAGGAGAGGGTGGTGGTGATGCAGTTGTCGCCCACGCTGCGCACGACCTCTGTGGTGTTGAAGTCGGCGAGGCCGGACGCGTTGAGGGAGATGGAGAAGGAGGAATCGAGGGTGAGCGTGGGGTTGCGCGTGTCAACGATGGTGACGCTGGCATCTGCCGCGTCCACGTTGAAGAAGTCATCAAAGACAACGAGCGTGACGGTCTGGTTGCCGAGATCGTCACAGGTGAACACGCCGGGGGCGGCGGAGAGCGAGCCGATGGCGCAGTTGTCGTATGAGCCGTTGTCGACAGTGGCTGGCGTGATGCTGACAAAGCCACCGGCACCAAGCTGGAGGGTGGTGGTGCCCGAGATGGTGACAGCGGTCGGGTCCATGTTGTCGATAATCTCCACGGGAACGGTCTGAGTGTCTGACTGGCCGTTGACGTCCGTCACGGTGACGTCGATGTTCTGCGTTGTGCCGGCGTCGGCGCAGGTGAAGAGGGACTTGGACACGGTGGTGGAGTAGACGGCGCAGTTGTCGCTCTGCGTGACAATGACGTCGGCAGCGGTCAGTGGGGCCTGACCGGACGCGTTGAGGTACACCTGGTGGGCCGACTTGAGGGTGAACACGGGCGCGGAGACGTCGCGCACGGTGATGAGGGACGTGGCCGTGGCGGCGTTGCCGCTCGCGTCTGTGGCGGTGACGAGCACGGTGATGGCGGCGCCGACGTCGTTGCAGGAGAAGGAGGTGCGGTTGAGTACCTGTGAGGCCACGCCGCAGTTATCGACGGCAGACGTGACGAGGTCACCGGCAGCGATCGTGGCGGCCCCGGCAGCATCAAGGTCCACGACGAGCGTTGCGTTGACGGCAAGCACGGGGGCGGCCGTGTCAACAACCTCGACGGTGGTTGTGGAGGAGTTGGAGTTGCCGTTGACGTCGTAAGTGGTAGTGGTGATGGTGTTGTTGCCGAGGTCGGCGCACTCAAACAGCGACTGGGAGAGCGTCTGGTTAAGCACGGCGCAGTTATCGCTGGTGCCGGTGGTGATGTCGCCTGCAGCCAGGGTGGCGTTGCCGTCTGTGGCGTGGAGGGTGAGCAGGTGGTAGCCGACGGTGGTGAGGTCAGGGTTGACCGAGTCCTCCACGGTAACGGAGACGTTCGCTGTCGCGGCGTTGCCCTGGGCGTCGCTGATGGTGAGGAGGACGTCGGCAGTGCCAACGTCGCTGCAAGCGAACGCCGACTGCGCGAGCGTGCGCGTTGTGACGGCGCAGTTGTCCGAGTCGGAGTTGATGACGTCGGAGGCGGTGATGCTCACCGCGCCCGCGTCGTCAAGCTGGAGGGTGGTGGCGGCCACGGCGTCCAGGGTAGGCACCTCGTCATCGGCCACGGTGACGGCGACGGTGTCTGTGTCTGTGTTGCCGGCCGTGTCTGTGGCGGTGACGAGCAGGGTGCTGGCGCCCACGTCGGCGCAGGTGAGCTCGGTGAAGTTGAGGGCGACGGTGACGCCGTCACAGTTGTCTGTGGCGTTGATGAAGACGTCAGCCTGCTGGATGGTTGCCAGGCCGGACGTGTTGAGCGTGACGTCGAGGGAGGAGACGGCGAAGAGCAGCGGGGCAATGTTGTCGACGACCGTTGCCTCGACATCCACAGAGGCCTGGTTGGCCGAGGCATCGGTGACCACGGCGGTGATGTTGTACGTGGTGCCAATGTCGGAGCAGGAGAAGGCTGTGCGGGAGAGGGTGGTGGTGGCGACGGCGCAGTTGTCGCTGCTGCTGCTGACCACATCCGCGTCTGTGATGGTGGCGAGCCCCGAGTCGTTGAGGGCCACGTTGAAGGGCGCCTGCGGGGTGATGGAGGGCACCTCGGTGTCCACGACGGTGACGTTGGTGTACTTTGTGGTGGAGGCGGAGCCATCGGAGGCGGTGATGGAGATGTTGAAGGAGGAGCCCGCGTCGCTGCAGGCGAACGTCTGCTGGGACGCGGAGAGGCTCACGCCGCCAACGCCGCAGTTGTCGTCGAGGCCGACCGCCAGGGCGTCGAGGTCGAGCGAATACAAGCCCGACGTGTTTAGCGTGGCGGTGACGGCGTCGGTGAGGGTGAAGGTGGGCCCCGTGTCATCGACGACGGTGATGACAACCATGTCGGTGTCCGTGTTGGCTGAGTCGTCCGTGCCCGTGAGGGTGACGGTGACTGGGGTGCCGACGTCTGTGCAGGAGAAGCTGGCCACGTCAATGGAGAGGGTGACGTTCTCGCAGTTGTCTGTCGCCGTGTCTGTCACCTGCGCAGCGTCGATGGAGGCCAGGCCGGAGACGTTGAGCGCGAGGGAGAAGTCCGCCACGGCTGTGACGGTGGGGGCGCTGGTGTCGGCGATGGTGACAGAGTCTGAGGACGTGGCGGCGTTGAAGTTGCTGTCCAGGACGATGAGCGTGACGTCGTTTGCGCCGATATCGGTGCAGTAGAAGACGTTTGGCTGGACGCTCCTGGAGAAGATGCCGCACGCATCGGTGGTGGCCGATGCCAGGGCGCTCGGGGAGAGGATCACCTGCCCAAAGCTGTTGAGGGACTTTGTCCCTGGCGACTGAGGGGTGATGCTCGGCGCCGTGTCATCCTGCACGGTGACGGTGGCGGTGTCCGTGGCGTTGTTGCCGGCCTCGTCCTCCACGGTGAGCGTGACGCTCACGGGTCCAACGTCAGAGCAGGAGAAGCTGGTCTGTGAGGCGGAGAAGAGAAGGTTGCCGGCCGTGGTGGTGTCGTCTGAGCTGCCGCCGTCGAGGTTCGCTGGGTCGAGCGTGTACGTGCCGTCGGCGGCCAGGGTGATGGTGATGTCCTGGGCGACGGCGGTGGGCGGCGTGGTGTCCACGGCATGTGTAGGTGCGGAGAAGAGCAGCACAGCTGCAAGGAAGGCCAGAGTGGTGGTAACAAAACGCGACTGAAGTGTCGCAGACGTCGCCGCATGCTGACGCACGAGAACAGGGGCGTCAACAGCTACGGCAGCACCAGCACCACTGGTTCGGTAACGACGGTGGTGCGAAGAAGAGGTCGTCGGCATCTTTGTGGTCATGTCTGCACGTGGTTGGTGGTGCAGGGAGCGATGATGCTTGACGCAGGCTGGCAAGCCCATGGCCGTAGCCAAGAAGAGCCAGCGACGAAGCGGAGAGACGAAGCGTGTGGCGCAGGCAACAGCAGATCTGTCTCAAGTGTGTGTGTGTGTGTGTGTGTGGATGTGTGTGGATGTGTGTGTGTGTGTGTGTAGATGTGTGTGTGTGTGTGTGTGTGTGTGTGGATGTGTGTGTGTGTGGATGTGTGTAGGTGTGTGTGTTTGAAGCGGTGTGGTGAGCGGTAACACAAAGGTCAATGGGAAAAACGAAACAGCAACCCACAGGGTGCGGTAGAACAATGAGTTTGTCGTTGCCAGGTCAACAAAAGAACAAGAACGATCGGGAAGGGGTCAGGAAAGCAAAACCAGTCGGAAAGAGAAATGGTTGTGGTGGGTAGTGATGTGAAAGGCGGTGGGCGGGTTGGCGTTGAAAGCGCAGCGCACACAGCAGTGTGTGTGTTTGTGTGTGTCCAAGTCAAGCAAGGTCAGAAAGAAAACAAGAGGAGACGAGAGGATCAAGACGATCAACGTCAACGATCAGGGGTGCCCAGCACAGCGGTGGATGGCGCGCGCGTGTGTGTGTGTGTGTGTGTGTGTGTGTGTGTGTGTGTGTGTTGTGTGGAGAAAGGAGAAAAGTGCACAAACCGACAAGCGAGCATGCGAGCAAGGGCGGCGGTAGGCAAGGGCGGTGGTGCGCAAACGGCAAAGGAAAGGAAGAGAGACCTCAGAAGGAGGTTCAAGGATGGGGGTGAAATCGCTCAGAAAACTGCCTGGAATGTGAGGACTGCCCATACGATGCGGCATAAGCGGCATGGAGAGAGATGGAAGCAAGATGGGTTGGGTTCAGACAGTAGTGGTTGCGTTTGACAAGGAGGGAAAGGAAGGGGAAAAAAACTTAGGCAGAGAGGAGAAGAAGGGATCGATCGAGCTCAAGCGAGATCACTGACACTGGTGCCAGGTGGCGTGTGGTCAGGCCGGTGGGTGTTGTTGGAGAGATGGAAGGAAAAAGGGGGGCAGAGAGAGATGATGGGGGAAGAGAAGAGAAGACACTTACTCGATACGATGGATGGGAGGGGTGGATGGATAAGATGAAGGCAAAGAAAGGTCTGAGATGTGTTGTATGTGTATGTGTGTGTGTTGTATGTGTATGTGTGTGTGTTGTATGTGTATGTGTGTGTGTGTGTGTTGTATGTGTATGTGTGTGTATGTGTGTTGTATGTGTGTGTGTTGTATGTGTATGGTTGACAACAGTGACAACGTGCAGTGCCAGCGTGTGATATGTGTGTGTTGGAAAGGAAGACACACGACCGCACGACAGAACACCGAGTAAAAGAAGGGAAAGAGGGAAGGAGAGGAACGCAGATGCGTTGAAGGGAGTGAGGGAATGAATGAACGAATGAGCGACGCGTAACAAGGCAAGGCAGGCAAGGTCAGGCAACGAAAGGGCGATAGTTTCTCGCGCACGTTTCGTTCGATGACAAGCGAGCCAACGAACGAACAAGACGAACGAACAAGACAAAGAACCACCACAGCAGAGACGGCAGCTGTGTGCACACGCGCGCGCACGCACAAAGCCCACACACACACACACACACACACACACACACACACACGCACACACACACACACACACGCACACACACACACACGCACATGTGTCGTCCACGCGGCCCAAAACCAACCGTTGCTGCTGGAGAACGTGGCACGCTGTTGTCAAGAAGTGGCTGGATTGTGGGCTTGCTGATGATGATGTGACAGCAACACACGGCTGAAGGAAGGAGCACGCAAGCTGCAACGTGGAGGGCACAGGAGGCAAACCCACGTTCAGCAACAACACAGCACAGGCAAGCAGTGTCGTGTCGTTGCGGCTCACAATCACTTGAGTGATTTGGTCCAAATCAACGGATGGAAACTTGCTGGGCTGCACGCGTTGGCACAGGTCTGAAGAAGAAGAAGGCAACAAGCACTCAAGAAGGCGTTTATCTGCACTGCCACGCAAGCAAGCAAGGCCAAGACACAAGCAGACAGCGATGGTCACGCGTCAGTCAGGCAGTCAGGCAGGCAGGCAAACAAAACTGTGTGTGTTCTGTGCTGTTGCTCTGTGCTGTTGCTCGATTGCTTGTGTGTGGGTGGGGTGGTTGGTGGTTGGTTGGTGTGGGCAGCGCAAGTCGCCCAACTAGAGGTGGTCCGCCAACGGAAAAAATCGCGGGATGTGGTGGTGGGGACAGGAAAGGGTGGCGACACACGCACACACACACGAAAGCAAAAAGCGGTTGTGGTTGGGGATGGTGGTGGGAGTGCAATCACACACCACGTCTCACACACACACCTCAACACGAACCCACCACCATCAAGAAAAAAAAACCCCCGAGCATTCGCGCACACCCAACCAGCACAACACCACACGCAACACACCACACACCAACCACCGGTCCCGCGCAAGCAAGGCAAGGCGAGGCGAGCAAGCAGAAGCTCACCAGGAGAAGGAAGCAGCACGCAGCCGGTCAACGAGGGCGGGAAAGGAAAAAGCGCTCGTGAGCTGCCCAACCGACCTGGCTATCCGCTTTTGGCTGGCTTGGCTGACTGATCGATTTGCTGCAACGTTTGGCTGGTGTTTGCGTGTGTTTGCGTGTGTTTGGCAGTGTTTGAGCGTTACCAGCGGCGGAATTTCAACGGAAGATGTTCGTCATCCGCCACGTTTCGCCACTCAACCCGTGCGCTCGAAATTCGGAACCAGTGGCGGGCGAACCACATGCCCATGCCCATGTTGGCCATATTAGACACCATGAAATTATTGCCGATGTCAGCAAATGCTGGGCGCCTGGACAAATCTGCCAAGATACACATGAATCCTCCTCAACCCGCGCACTGCTTGCGCTTACGGCTCAAAGGTCACAAACAAACCAGACAGACGAAGACGAAGAAGAAGAAGGGCGGAAACAAAACAACACCAGCCAAACAACCCACACAAACAAGCCACACAAAGAGACACCCTCCTCCTTGCCTTGTTTGTGCTCGATTCAAGCGTCCTTGAGAGAGGTGAGTGAGGGACGTAATGAGTGAGGGAGCGGGTTGGGAGGAGGGATGGGTTGATTCCATCTGGCCTCATGTGCATGTGTGTGGTGGGTGTGTTGGTTTTCGTTGGGTGCTCGCGACGTGTGGTGGCTGTGATACGCTCTTCATTTTGTGTGTTTGTCCTTCCTCTCTTGTGCCGTCGTCGTTCTGTTTCTCTCGCGCACGCTGCCTTGCTTGGACATGTGTCTTTGTTATGCCACTGTTGCATGCGCTTGCTCGCACACTCATGGACACTCACGTGCTGTTGTCTGCCACCCCACAAACACGCACACGCACACTCACACATACACACAAACACACGCACGCCTCACAATGGAGAGAAGTCTGTGTTTCCTCCTGTTGAGCGAAACCCCGCAACACCGCAACCCTACCCATTCTCTACAGTTATCGGCACCATGTCCGGCCCTGAACCAGGCACAAAGGTGGTTGCACTCTTTGACTTCAAAGGTGCATCAAAAGAGGTGCGTCCTGGCTGCATGCTGGAGTGCTGTCGTCCCTGGTGTTGTTGTTGTAAAAGTTGCTTCAGTTGTTGTTGTTGTTGTTGTTGTTGTTGTTGTTGTTGTTGTTGTTGTTGTTGTTGTTGTTGTCGTCGTCGTCGTCACACAGTGTCGCTCGCTGCTGCACTCACCTGCGACCCCACAAACTGTTGTCACTGCAGTCACTCACCACTGACCCTTTGTGCTTGTTCACACACACACACACATGTGCTTGTGTGTGCGCGCACATACAGGACTTGCCGTTTCGACGAGGCGAGGCCTTGATTGTGCAGCAATTGTCAGAGGACCCCAACTGGTGGTTTGTCAAGAACTCAAAAGGCAAAAAGGGCATGATCCCGGCCAACTACGTGGTGCGTACACAACCAGGGCGTGCATGTGAGTGAGAGACTGGGTGCCTGTTGGGCGTGGTCGTGTTTCCAACCGAGTGCATGCAGACTTCGTGTGCTTGCGTGGATGTTTGTGTGGATGTACACTAGCTTCTTCCCTGTCTGCGCCCGCTTGTCCTGTTTCGTGCACACACACACACGCTCACACGTACGCACACCTTTGTCCTTGCGCGGTCTTACACGCCACCCTGCCTGCCTGCCGTCATGTGCCATGGCTCGTGCATCTGCAGAATGTACTGGATGACCGCCCAAAGAAAGACACAACCCTTCCGCGCGACGACAAAGGCCAGCTCATCGGCGGCGTAAGTCACCTTCCCGTGTCTGTGTGTGTGTGTGTGTGTGTGTGTGTGTGTGTGTGTGTGTGTGTGTGTGTGTGCGCGCGCGCGCGCCTGTCTGTGCGTCTGTGTCTGTGTCTGTGTCTGTGTCTGCGTGTGTTTGCTCGTGTTGTGCATGGATTCGTCCTTACCCCCCCCCCCCAAGTGACCATCACCGACGCCATTCTCGCAAACACAAACACAAACACGCACACACACAACCCAATCTTCCCCGCCGCTGTGCTGTTGCGCGGCAGCCGATGCCGTGGTTCCATGGGAAGATCTCACGCGACCGGGCAAACCAGATGCTGCTCAAGGCCAAGGCGCCCGATGGCGTGTTCCTCATCAGGGAGTCCACAAACTACCCCGGCGACTACACCCTCTGCGTCAGGTGCGGCGTCGGCAGAGTGCTGGTGCTGTCGTGGAGTGGCTGGTGGTGGCGGAACACACGAAGGAGATAGAGAGAGAGAGAGAGAACGGGGCAATAAGAGGGGAGTGCTGTGTGTGCTGTGAGAGTGAGAGTGAGAGAGTGTGTGTGTGTATAAACGCCGCTGTGTGCATGTGTTTTAGCGAGCAAAGCACAGGCAGGAGTGCTTGGTAGGAAGCGATGTGTGATGCACTGAGAGACAGGGTGGGTGGACATGCTTGTGCCTGTAGCACGCCTTGCCCTTACACTGCAAGTTGTGCTATGCGGCCTTGTGTACATGCATGCATGTGTATGCAGGAGTGGGGTGGACCAGGTGGATCACTATCACATCAAGAGCATCAACGGTCGCATCACCGTTGACGAGGAGTCCACGTTCAGGTCCCTCGACGATCTCATCCAAGTGCGTCTCCACACGCTCCACGCACACAGGAGGGAGAGGCAAAGAGAGAGAGACAGACAGACAGACAGAGAATGCGCTCGCACACGCGCGTACAGCCACTCATACACGCGTGTCACTCGTTTTTTCACACACCCACTCACACGCTGCCATCTTTTCTCGCTCGTGTCACGCCACAACGCTGCCTGCGTATTGCGTGTGTCTTCGTGTGTGTGTGTGTGTGTGTGTGTGTGTGTGTGTGTGTGTGTGCAGCACTACTACAAAGAGGCGGATGGCCTCGCCCACAAGCTCGTCACGCCGCTCGTGCGGGAGGACGGCAAGGAGCTCGTACGTGTCTTGTTGCTGCTGTTCTTGTTCTTGTTCTTGTTCTTGTTCTTGTTCTTGTTCTTACTCTTCGCTTTTGTGTTTCCAGCTGCTGCACTGCACATTGACGACTGCACCCACGCATTCACACACACGCATTCACGTTGCTTGTCGCCGCTTTAGATTGACAAGAAGGCGTTTGAGGCGTACGAGATCAATCCACGCGAACTGTACAAGGGAAAGCTCCTTGGAAGCGGGCAATTCGGCGGTGCGTGTGTGTGTGTCTGTGTGTCTGAACGTGCATGTGTGCATGTGCATCTGTAACCTTGTGTGGGTTTATGTCGCTGCGTTTCTACATGCTGCTTTGTGTCCCGCGTGCTTTCATCTCCCTCACATGACACCCCTGTGCCGTGTGCGTGTGCAATTGCAGAGGTGTATGAGGGCACGTTTCGCGGGGTGAAGGTTGCGATCAAGACGCTGAAGAACATCAACGAGGACGGCCTGCGGGAATTTCTTGCAGAGGCAAATGTGATGATTCAGCTCAAGGACAAGAACCTTGTCTCGCTTATCGGCGTCGTCACAAAGGCTGGCGAGAAGAAGCTTGTCACAGAATTCCTCGAAAAGGTGCCCATGCTTGTGTGTGTGTGTGTGTGTGTGTGTGTGTGTGTGTGTGTGTGTGTGTGTGTGTGTGTGTGTGTAAATCACACCTGTACTTGCCTTACTGTGTGTGTGTGTGTGTGTGTGTGAAAGACGACCCCCCCCCCCTGTGTCGCTTCGCTTCCCCCTTGTTTTGTCTTCTGCTGCTTGTCGAGTTCGTCCGTATTTCTGCACTGGCCAACAGGCACCATCAACGCTCATTATCGCTGCCTTTCTCGCCACCAACCTGTCACCGGCGGCTGCAGGGCAACTTGTTGGACTTCCTGCGCTCGCGTGGCCGCAGCGTCGTCACGCCCAAGATGCAGCACCACTTTACCCGCGACATCTGCAACGGCATGGCTTACCTCGAGAAGCGGAAGGTCGTGCACAGGTACGTCTCCTTGCTCCATGTGCATTGTGTGTGTGTGTGTGTGTCTGCTTTTATGTAAATCTTCCCATCTGTTTTATGGTTGTGGTTTCCTTCTTTGCTTTGTCTCCTCACGCACACGCAACCATACACACAACCACACAACGACACACACGCACGTCTCCCCTTTTGCAGGGATTTGGCGGCGCGCAACGTGCTCATCTCTGCTGACGACGTGGCCAAGGTTGCTGATTTCGGTCTTGCGCGCGTGTCGACGGCCGGCGTTGCGGACCCGGGCAAGCTGCCCATCAAGTGGACGGCGCCCGAGGTGCTGCGACAGAAGGTGTCCACGAGCAAGAGCGACGTGTGGAGCTTTGGCGTCACCGTGTGGGAAATTTACTCGTTTGGCCGCACGCCGTACCCGCGCATGAGCCAGAAGGAGGTGGTGGAGAAGGTTGCAAAGGGATATCGCATGGAGAAGCCCGAGGACTGCCCAGAGGTCAGCCGCCGTCAATGTTTGCGTGTCTTGTGCGCTTTTGGTGGTGTTGGAGTTGTTGATGTTGGAGTTGTTGAGCTTGTGTCCGGATGATCACAGCATGATGATCATGCCCCTGGCATTCATCATCATCATCATCAACAACAACAACAACAACAACAACAACAACAACAACAACAACAACAACAACAACAACAACACTTACCAACCATGGCTTCTTGTTGCTCTTCTTCCCCTGCTGATTCCTGTCCGCTTTCGCTTGCCGCATCAGGTCATCTATGAGATTATGCAAAAGTGCTGGCACATTGAGCCCTTGCAGCGGCCGACGTTCAACAGCCTGAAGAAGACGCTCGCAAAGCGACCGAAATAAAGCCCCTGTTTGGCAATGCCTCCACGTCATTGCCGTGGATTGTGTTTTGCTTTGTGCAGCTATTGGCTTTTGGCTTTGCGTTTGTCGATGTTCATGTTGATGACCCCTTCCCCCTCGCCTTCCTGCCGCTCCCTTGCTGGTCCCTGTTCTCCTCTTCATCATGTGTTTGCTGACTGTCTCTCTCGCATGCCTGCCGGTGCACCCCATCCATGCTTGTGCTCGGCCGCAACCTTCACCGCTGCGTTTTGCTGCAATGATGCTGCTTCTCCTTGTTCTACACACTTCCTATCTGCTTTGCTTTTCTGTTCTGTGCTCGGCTGTCTTCACCCCTCTCTTGATCGCTTTGGCCGTGGCTGTGGCCTTTCTGCTTGTTTGCCTCAGGTTGTCTGCGCGTGTCTGTGTGTGTCTTGTGTCTGTGTGTGTGTGTGTCTCTCTCTCTCTTGTGGCCTTTGCATTGGTGTGCTGTGTGATGTTCAACCCTGCTCCTCCTCCGCCTGCGTGCATCGTTCCGCTGTTGGGTGGAGTTTGTTTGAGAAGGTGCTAGCATCACACCACCGTCTGATTCTTGTTTGTATGCACATACACCAGTCCTCGACAGCCAGCACTGTTATCCACAGAGAGTATGTGTGTGTGTGTGTGTGCCTCTGTGTCTGTGGCTGTGTCTGTGTGTGAATACAGCCAGACGACGTACACCTTGACACAGAAAGAGCTTGCAGCTTCGTCATGCACGACACGCTTGCAGGTGCAAGTGTCAACCCCACTCGCACATGAGGTACGTTGCAATGAACAGGTAAAAATGATTTATCTGGACGTATGTGTGTGTACACACGAAAGCTGAGCTGAGGTTGGATTCGACAAAGAAAAGCAGCACACACACACACACATGTACACTCACATTTACACTCACACAAATTCGAACACATGCGTGTACACACACGCACACACACACACATATGAACACGCATGAACGCAGGCATGTACACTCAAAACACACGTACACGCAAGCACACGCATATCAATTAAACCCGGACCGTAAGCAGTGTACAATCACATGGCACCATGGTACTAGACAAAGCCACACAGCCCGTGCGTGTTGAACACTGTCGAGTGTGGTGAGGGGGGAGGAGGCAGCAGCAGAGCAGTCACAAAAAGCACCAAAGGCAGGACTGACAGGGCTTGGGCGAGGGGAGACTTTGAACATATGGAAGACACATGCAACAAAGACAAACACACTTGCACCTGCACACACGCACAAGCGACTAAATGCACACAAAGAAACATAGACAGACCAAACGCACACACGCACAGAACTCAAGAAGCGTCTCCTTTCTGCTTGTGGCGGCGGGCAGTCTTGGGCGGCTGCGGTTGCTGCTGCTGCTTCTTCTTCTTCTTCTTCGCCTGCAACTTTGCGCGCTTTGCGGGCTGCTCGCCCTTCTTCGTGCCAGCGAGCGTGCGCACGGCGGTGTTGGCTTCCGTCTCTTGAAGCAACTTCTCGGCTTTGGCGCGAGGCACCTTGCCTGTTTCAATGCACTTGAGGCAGTGCCACTCTTTGCCCGGCTCCAACGCCTCTTCTTCGTTCATGCCCATGCTAACACATGAAAATGGTGGCAAGCAAAAAAAAGCGCGTGAGTGTGTGTGTGTGTGAGTGTGTGTGTGTGTGTGTGTGTGTGTGTGTGTGGTATGCGCGAGCGCGAGTTGATCTCAGCGTCGCGAATCGAGCGCGTATGTAACACACGTTGTGAGGGGTACAGTCGAAGCCTTCTGACTTCCATCTGCCGGCGTGATTGGCAAAACGATCTCTAAAGTGTTGTCTGGACCGCTGCTCACGCGATCACGTTTCTATGCAGTCTTAAACTGGCGATCGACGCATGAGGTCGGTCTTGACTCACGACGATGATTTATACACCAGAGGCGTACGTTTTCTTATCGTGGGTTTGACAGTGAAAAGGTCAACTCCTGTGTGTGTGTGTGGGTGTGTCTGTGTGTGTCTGTGTGTGTGAAAACGCGTGTGCATCGACGTGTGATTGTAATGGCACCCAGACACAAGTACACAGGCCATCCACAGAGGCCACCCGAAGGCTCACCATTTCGCGTGGTACCAGGAGTCGCACGAATCGCAGCACACCATCAGCTTGTCTGGGTTGTACGGACGACGGCAGACGCAAAACTTCTTTGGCGGGCGCTGTGTCAGACACGGCAATGTATCGACACGGCATATGGTACGCGGGTGCGTGAATGTGTGTCAGAGTGTGTGTGTGTGTGTGTGTGTGTGTGTGTGTGTGTGTGTGTGTGTGTGTGTGCGTGTGTATGTGTGTCAGTATGTGCGTGTGGAAACTTAGTGCACATGTGTGTGTGTGTGAGTGGATGCACGCACGCAAGCAAAATAAATGGCACAGACGAACGCATGTGTGTATTGGCACAGCAGCACTGTCCCGCGACAATACATGATGAGCCATCAGGATAGCTTTGGCAAGACCAACGTACTGTGATCTTGCGTGTCTTGACGTTGTAGTTTGAGCGCCAGAAAAACGTCTGTCACACAAAGTCAGACGTAAGCGGAGGCTCTGATAAGGCATAACAACGCCTGTGTACACACACACACACACACACACACACACACACACAGGCATGCACATGAACACGAGCGCAATCCACACTGCCACGCTGTCACGGACACACCCATGCCCACGCACAACAGCTCGCTCGCATACCGGGAGTGCCTGCCCGTCCCTGAACACTGCTTGGCCCTTCGCTTGCCTTTCTTCATACTCTGGCATGGGAAGCACGGCGCACAGGCCTTCGACAACACGCGCGCTCACAATGTCTCTGTGGTTGGAGCGAAGCACCTGTGTTTGTTCATGTGCGCATGTTTGTGTGTGTGTGTGTGTTCGTGTGCGCATGTTTGTGTTCGTGTGCGCATGTTTGTGTGTGTGTGTGTGTGTGTGTGTGTGTGTGTGTGTGTGTGTGTGTGTGTGTGTGTGTGTGTGTGTGTGTGTGTGTGTGTGTGTATGTGTGTGTGTGTGTGTATGAGAGAGAACACATGAGAGTGTGTTCGTGAATCGCACAAACCAGAAGCACGCTGCAAAGCACGCTGCATGCACCACAGGCACATGTGCACACACCTCTTCTGCGCCGTGGTGCTCCTGTCGACCACCCGGCAAGTCCTTCAAGAGAGAAGAAGTGTCGTGTGCATGCATGTGAGAGCTGGCGTGTACGTGCGCCACGCAAACAAACCAGCCGGATGCATGCATGCACTCAAGAGCATGCGTGCGCAATCACTAATGCCAGCGTGACAGTACCTCTGGCCTGTAGAACCACTTGAGTTCCACGTACACGTCTCTGTCATTGTTGGTGAACACCCTCACAATGTCTGCAACATACTCCATTGACGATGCGCCCTGGCAAATTGCCGCGGGGCAGTGTGAGGACAGGCGACAGCAGGATCGATGACAGGAAACGGCTTGGCAGGCTCACGGTGCACAAGACCAGCAAACATGAAACGAACGCATTGCACGTACTTGAGCATACACATACGCGCATGCAAACACATGCAAACACATGCAAACGCACATGCACGCACATGCACGCATGCACACGTCAAGGATTGCCGTACCTTCACCAAGATGGTGTCGCCGCAGTTGAAGGTGACATTCCCCAAGTTGAATGAGGAGTACTCCCTGCTGTTCTCTGTGAACTCTGTCATGCTGTTTGCTGCTGCTGTGTGTGCTCTGTTGACGCTTGGTGGGTCCTACTCAATGTGCGTTGCCTTTCATACAACCAGCCAAGAACCTTTTCCTTGCGCGAAGTTGCGTTGCGCCTCTCTGAAGCTGCGAGCCCTGTTGTTGTCGTTGCCTTCCAGTCTCGCGTATGCTGGATGTGCAGGATGTTGTGAGCGTTGCCTTGGCGTTGTGATCGACACTGCTCGATGTCAGCAAGCCGGGGCGGAGAGAGGCGAGGCGGGAACCTTTGCGGTGGGTGGAGGCGTCGTGTAGAAGGCGAAGAGAGAAGTCAGAGGCGCGCGTCACGCTGCTCGAACATGCACGCAGCACCCCCCACAACGTCAACAAACAAGCAAGCAAGCAAAAGAAAGCAAGAAGGTGTCTCGAAACAACAAAAATCCCGCGAACTTTCAAAGAGGAGGTTTGTTGTTGTTTGTTTGTGGCGTTGTTGTTTTGTGGCCAAAGACAACACAACGCAAGAGGACGAGGACTGGCTCGTGTCGCCATACAATGTTAGAATGTTGCCTTGTTTGTTGCATTGTTGTTTTTTTTTTTTCGACCTCTCTACCTCTACAGCTCTACTCTCTGCCTCTCCTCCTGCCATTCCTTTCTAGCAGAGCATTTATTTGTCGACCGTTGAGCCTCAAGCCTCGAGTGGTGCGAACTGAGTCGGTGTACATGGTGGGGTGCACGCAATGATGATCTTTTGCTGATCGTACATAACATACAGCGTCAGTTCATGTAGGTGTCTTGGTGGTAGTTGTTTTTCTCGCTGTAGTTGTCTTCCAAATTCATTCCTCTTCATCCTTGTCCCTTCCAGCTTGCCCCTTCTCCTTTAAACCTTTGAGCTGACATGATTTGAGCATACACGCACAAGGCTGGACGAAAGTGTACAGTCATGAACTTGTTTCCTAGGTCATCACATCATGTCACAACCAGATACTCACACAACACAACACAACAACCTTGTTTGTCGATTCACAAGCGCACTCTCTCACATCGTAGAACGAAAAATCAACAACGAGATGGAGATCGCCGTGACACAGTTGCATGGTGGAACACCGCACGACGAATCTTGTACAGGAGGACAACATTACAGTGTTCTCATTAAATCACTGCTCCTAGCCGCCTTCAACCCGCATCAAGAAGTTTAATGCAGTACATAGCCAAGGGACAGGACTGGTGTGTGTAACACAAACAATCGCATATTCATGTACAAAGCACAACAAGCATGGTCATCTCGCAGCGTGTAGCATATGTAATATTGCCTGAGAACGAACATGCAGTCGAGATCATGTCGCCCCAAAATAGACAACCCTCTCGCTACGCATCACCATCCACGACGGCCAACACATCGCGATGTGCATTACCACCACCACCACCACCACCACCACCACCACCACCACCACGATCAGCAGCTGCCTGCCCTTCATCGCCGTCCTCAGCATGACTTCTCTCAGCACGGGCTCCACCACCACCACCACCATCACCAGTATGTACATCTGCAGCACCCCCACCATCATGCTCGTCAGCACCACCAACACCTGCGCGGCCACCAGGGCCGCCATCACCCGCCTCGTCGTGGCTGGCGTCTGCACCGTCCCCATCACCGCCCTCCTTGAACCTGGCCACATCGTGAACGGCCTGCCGGTCGGCAACCTCAAGCTCACGCTCAAGTTCATGAAGTCGATGCAATATCCCATCGCCACCGCCACCGCCTTCTCCACCACCCGCGTCCTGCCCTCCAGCATCACCACCGTCACCATGTATTCTTGCATCAGCATCCTCTTGTACAGCAACTGGCTGCTGGTGCTGGTGCTGCTGGTGTTGTCCATGTTCGTGTTGCTCCAACACATCAAAGGCGCTCTCCTGTTGTTGGTCAGCTGCCCGCAACGTGACGTGGCCGTGCCGGGCCACTTTGCCCTCTTGATTGCGCCCATCACCGCCCTCAACCACCACGGGACCAAGCACAGGGGACACTGTCGTGCGCCTGCCGTGGGCCGCATTGCCAATGCTGTCGCGGTTGCTGCTGTGTTCTGGCTCACGTGTGCTCTGTCGTGGCGGTTCATCCAGGACTGCAGCCCGCAGCACATCCAGTGAACCCAGCACGCTCCCAGTGGCACCGTGCTGCTGCTGCTGGTCAGCAATCGAGGGGTCCAGCGGCTAACAAAGAGAGAGGAGAGAGAAGGGAGAGGAGGGAAGAGGGAGGAGAGAGGAGGTGGGAAGCACAGAGGACATGGAGTCACATGAGCAAGCCAACACGGACCCAAGCCAGGTGCCGAGTGCCAGGACATACGTGTGTGGATGCATGCATGCATTGCTTGTTTGTGTGTGTGTGTGTGTGTGTGTGTGTGTGTGTGTGTGTGTGTGTGTGTGTGTGTGTGTGTGTGTGTGTGTGTGTGTGTGTGCACGACGCACTTTGGCCTTGTGGTGGTCCACGTCGATGACAGACGCCAGCCCAAGCACACTGCACACCAGGCCAAATGCAAGCAGGCCCTATCCAACCAAAACAACATACGTGAGGGTTGGATATCGATGAACCAGCCAGCAGGCGGACGGAAAGCGGTACAGAGACAGGCACGCAGGTAGAGAGACGAGAGAAGCAGGTAGGCAAACATACAGACAGACAGGGAAACAGACAGACAGACAAACAGACCCACCCACCCCCTACACACATACACACACACACACACACACACACACACACACACACACACACACACACACACAACGCACGATAGCGAGACGGCGGCCCTTCTTGTTGCCCGTGTCCAGCTGCAAGTAGACGAGACCAGGCAGCACAAAAGCAACCATTGTGCCAGCCGTTGCTCCCACAATCGTCAGCGCCGTCTGGATCACAGGGATCGCCAAGGCCGCGCCCTGTGACACACGTGTCCCGCGCAGTGAGCGCATCAACAACAGTGAGTACATTAGCAAGGCATGTGGAATGCGTGCAAGCTCGCAAGACAAGACAGGAGCAGCAGGCATGGCAAGAGGGGGGGGGGGGGTCAAGCGAGCGAGCAGCAACGTACGAGGGCAAGGAACACGATGCAGAAGGTGAGGAACAGGAACGACAATCGTGGCATGAGCGCCGTGACGGACGCCTGCTCCTTGTGCTGGTGGTGGTGGTGTTGCTGATGGGTGTGTTGCTGCTGGTGGTGGTGGCTGTCGTGTGGGTTGCTCGCCGCTGGATCTTCTGAGGAGGTGGAGCGCGTTGGTTTGCGCGGAGAATACTGCGACGACGACGACGACGCGAGCGACGCTGGCTGCGAGGATGATGGGCTGGCGCTTGGAGCAACAGCCATGTACAAGCTGAAAACGATGAGAACAAGAAAGGAAGTAAGGAAGGAAGGAAGGAAGGAAGGAACGAAGCGAGGGTTAAGGTTGGAGGAATGGATGTATCAGCATGTGTTCATGGAGAAGATGCACAGCACATACACATATTGATGCATGCACACACACACACACACACACACATATATATATATATATATATATATATTTATATATATATATATGCACACGCACAGAGTTGACCAAGATAACACCTTTCGCGACAGGGGAAGACGATGAGGGGAAAGCTGACGAGAATGGAGACGGCAAATCCACCGCGCACAATGCTCGAGTGCATGTCATTCAGAACGTTTCCGTCAATGTCGGTGCCGTGAAACGCAACGAACCCGCACACACCCACCTGTAGAAGGAGGAGTGAAGTTGGTAAGAGACATCGTATGTGCGGGCATGTGCATGCATGTGTTGTGCGCTTGCTTGCATGTATGTGTGTGTGAGGGGGGGGGTGTCTGACGTGAAGAAATTCAACATCGCGAATTGCGGATGTGTACATGTCGTGCGCATGCGTGTGCGTGGGTGTATGCACGTACAATGAGGTAGAATGTCAGGTCCAACAAGAGGCCTCCGCGCAGCACGTTCTGTATCGCAGCATGTGGGGTGAAGCCGCAAAACCGGGTGAGTAAGTAAGGAAGTGTACTCAGCACACACACGCACACGCACAGACACACAGACACACACAGACACACAGACACACGCTCTTACGCACGATGAGACACAAGCAGATATGCACGTACACACACACACATGCACACACAGACATGCAGGGGTTACCCCACCTTCATGTGGGTGAGGCTTGGGTTAGGCAAGTGCTGCATGACCATGAAGAGGGAGCTAAAGACGTGTGTGTGTGTGTGTGTGTGGGGGGGGACCGTGAACGCAAGAGGATGGCACATGAGCACAACACGCTGCTGGTGTGAACGTACACGCATTCATCTGCCGCATCACATCCCAGCACAGGCGTCATCCTAAACGAAACCACATACAGAACACACACACACACACACACACACACACACACACACACACAAGAGCAGGCAGGAGCAGCAGCAGAAGCAGTGCCACCACGTACGGTTGTCCGGCAAAGGCGAGGCCGAGGATGGGAACGCAGCCGGGGATCCCAGCAAGGCGCACGAGAGGTGCATTAAACAGCCATCTGCAGCAGTAGCAGCATCATGGGAGTAAGTAAGTGAGTGAGTGAGTGAGTGAGTGAGTGAGTGAGTGGGTGAGTGAGTGGGTGAGTGAGTGAAGGTTGTTTTGTGTGGCTGTGTGGCTATGTGTGTTTGTGTACATGTCACGCACTCGAATGTGAAGAAAGGGCCAGCAGCAAAGACGAAGATGGTGACGCAGAACAGCACATATACGCCGACCGCTATTCGACTCTGCATATGGTGTGAGCATTGGGTGTGGTAGTATTGGTGATTCGACAGCCACAGCAAAGTAGACAGGTAAAGATGACGGCGATATCCGTGCGTGCGTGTGTATGCGTGTGTGTGTGTGTGTGCGTGCGTGTGTATGCGTGTACGTGCGTGCGTGTGTGTATGTGTATGTGTGTGTGTGTGCGTGCGTGCGTGTGTGTGCGTGTGCGTGCGTGTGTATATGTGCTTGTTTTGGTTCTCCACGTGTAAGCGTGAGTGCTTCGGCTGCACGTGCTGTGTTGCTATGTGTCTTGCCTCACCAGTTTGGAGATGGTTTCCACGCTTCGGCTCAAGCAGATGGGAAACACCCAAACTGCAGCAACGGCCGCCATCACCCACGCACGGGAATCCTGCGAGGCCGAGTGGGGTGTGATTGTGTGTGTGTGTGGTGTGTGTGATATTGTGCGGGGTGGTAAAAGGGAACTGACCGCACAGCTGCCCGTGGACAGTGATTGCTACATCGCACGGGATACACTGACAGAGACACACAGACAGACACACAGACACAGACACACAGACAGACACGCGCACGCACGCACCTCGGTGAGGGTCATGTATCCAAGAGCGGCCAGGACGCGGCTGAGCAGGTCCGCTGACACGAGGAAGAAGGCCACAACGATCCCAAACAACTGGCCACTGATACTGCGGTCGTCCAGGTTGAAGACAGTGAAACGTGCCAGACGTGAGTGTTGGCTGCTCGTTTGTTGTGGTGTGAATGGTGAAGCGATGGTCGTAGGCAGGGAAGCAGACACAAAAGCAGGCGGAGAGGCAAACAGAAAGGCAAGTGGAGAGGTGGAGAGGTCGGCATACACAAGCGCACGGATATATACACAAGCGTACAGGCGCACATGAACATACACACACACATGCGCACAACACAAAGACAGCCGACCAGATGTTGGCGATGGTACGGCCTGCTGTTCCAAGGGATTTGAACGCCCTCTCCACTGTGTGGCGAGCAGACAACATGACCAGGCCACAGCACCAGTGATGAGCTGTTGACGTGCTTGTGTTGCCAGCAGGTGCTTTGAGCGAGCTGAGGCATGAAGCCTCAGCTTCATGACGGACTGAAACGTACCGAGATCCTCGTAGGTGACGGTGCGCGTCATGATGGCGCTCATGAGGAGCAGCTCACAGGACTTGATGTTCAGCTTGCACAGCAGAAACGTCAGAACGATACCCAGCACCAGTCCGCACTGCCAACAAGTGAGACAAAGAGGTGGCAATGAGTGCTGGCGGATCGAGGAACGCAGTGCCATGTCGCGTCACTGTAGCGAATACAAGCGTTCACTGGATGGAGCATGTGCTCACTGCAAGATCAAAGTTCAAACACAGACAGACAGACACACGCACATGCACACAGACAGACAGACAGACAGACACACACACACACACACACACACAGACCCACAGACACACATACACACACAGACACAGACAGACAGACAGACAGACAGACAGACAGACAGACACACACACACAGACACACAGACCGTCCAGTGTGCACTCACGCGATCCATGATAAACGGGATGGCGAGGACGGAGACGCCAGCAACGACGTTGGCCATGTTGACGACGGACTTCCAGTCTGTCGCGGATAAGCGCTCGTGTTCGTGGCCGTGCGTGGGCCGCTCCGTCCACACGCGATGCGCAGGGTTGAGCATCGTGCCGACGGCAGCAGCAGCAGTGGCTACGGCGGCGGCAGGCAGCAGCAGCGACAGCGATGTGACGATGGTTGAAAGTGGAGGAACAGCAGTGACGGTTGTGGAGTGGTGCAGGAGTGGTGGTTGAAGAATCGGCTTTTGCCTCTTGTTGTTTGTTGTCCTTCCTCCACACCTCCACAAACCACCAAACCAAAAAAAAACAAAACAAAGGGCATTGCTGGTTTGAGTGGATTGCGATTGTGCAATCGCCCTTTCTCGATTCCTGTGCTCTCTCCTCTGTGTCACATCACACCCATATCACGGATTGAGAGTCGTTTACTTCGGCACAGCACTGGGAGTGGTCAGGCAAGTGCCTGCATGCAACAGCCCAGGCGCAACCCCGATGGATGGGTTTCTGGCAACTTGTAGTGCTATTGCGGTGCTGGCTGCGGGTGTGTGGCTGCGGGCGACGATGTGGGCGGCGGGGGCACGCGCGCAAGCAGCTCCTCCAGCACGTCCTTCACCTTGGATGCGTTGCGCGTGCGGCTGCGTTGCTGGGCGTGCTGCTCCGCTGCTGCTGTCAGGATGGCTGTCACGGCTGCGTGCAGGGATGGCATTGCATGCACCCGCCCAACATCCACCAACTCATCCACCATTGCTGCCACGCGGTCTGAGGCGAGCGAGCGAGAAAATGAGTGTGTATGTATGAGTGAGTGTGTATGCGTGTGTATGCGTGTGTATGAGTGAGTGTGAGTGAGTGTGTGAGTGAGTGAGTGAGTGAGTGAGTGAGTGAGTGAGTGAGTGAGTCAGTGAGTGAGCGTGTTAGTGAGTGAGTCAGTGAGTGAGTGCGTTTGAGTGAGTGAGTGAGTGAGTGAGTGAGTGAGTGTCAGTCTGACCGCGTGCATGCCCCTAGTGTGTACCCGAGTTGCTGATTCGAGCCATCACAACCAGCAACTACCCAAAGCCCATACACAACCGAATCACCTGCTTGCTGCGGAAGACCGGCGCACGCTTCTCGCAATCCCCGCAGCGCCGATGACAGCGCCGTGGGAGATGTTGGGTGCAGTGGTTGCATCCCTGATGCGGTGGCGGCGAGGAAACTTGGCGGTGGCGACCGGCCCTCGCGCTCTGCGCCTTCAACCTTCGCCTGCTGCTGCTGCTGCTGCTGCTGTCCGTTGGTTGACGTTGCGCCAGTTCCCCTGCACGCAAATATGAAGCAGAGCACGCGTGGCGTATGTGTGTGTGTGAAAACGAGTATGGGAGAATCAAAGCTGCAGGCATGCACTGCAAGCATGCGCTGCGCACACACTTACACGCTCATGCGCTCGTTTACGAATAGACACACAGACGCACACAGACACAGGCACACATACAAACTGACACCCGCACACACGCAGACACAAACACAGACACAAACACATCCACACACGTAAACTCACGTGGCGCCAGAGTACATAGAGAGCAGCTGTTGGGCTGCGGGCGTGTGTTGTTCGTCAGCAAGGACAGACATGACGAAGCTGGGCTCCTGCGGTGGATGCGGGAGAGATGAGGAGAGGATACAAGAGCGTATGCACGAGACGGGGAGGCTGCAGAGAGAACAAGGACAGAACAGGAAATCACGGAAATCACGGAGGAGAGTAAACACCAATTCACACAAACATAACACACACATGCAAACACAAGCATGCATACACATGCAGACACAAGCATGCATACAAGTGCGCGTTGCTGCAACGAACCGCCTGTGTTTGTGGAATGTAGTCCGCTGGAAGGGAGAGGATGCCGACCGAGGGACCGAGGGCAACAATCGCAACAACATCGCGCTGGTGGCAGGCCCTGAAATCCCACACAAACGCACAGCACATACATGTGAGCGCAAAGGTTAGAGCAAAGAATGAAGCACTAGCACACCTCTCATCTACATCATGTTAACACGCACACGCACACGGACACACACACACACGGACACACACACACACACACGCACACGGACACACACACACACACACACACACACACACACACACACACACGGACACACACACACACACACACACACACACACACACACACACACACACAAACACACACACACACACGGACACACACAAACACACACAAACACACACACACAGACGCATAGACGCACACACACACACACATTCTCTCCCCGCACGCACTCTGCAAGGAGGTGGAAGGTGTGGCGAGAGTGTTCGCTGTCTTGGGCGTTGGCGGACGGAAGAAGGTAGATGCCTGTGGACCACTCAACCTGGGGCATCCTGCAGCATGATGGCAGTGCACGAGTGCACGCAACCATTTGCGCACAGAGCACAGCGAGTGGAGGGAGAGCATGGAAGAGTGTGAGGTGATAAGGAGCAACGACACCCATGGGTGAGCACACGCAAAGACACAGAGATACACACAGCTACGCAGATACACACACAGCACATGCACACAACACAACACAACACAACACGCCCAATCACATGCACTCACACCCCCACCCCCACAGACAGAGAACTGACATGAAGGCGCGTTGTGCGGTGAATCCGAGGATCTGGAGGAGCGAGAGCTGGCGCAGCTGCAGCGCGAGTGTTGGTGGTGCTGTGGTTGGCGGCGGATATGGCGCAACGCTGCACATGAGGCTGCCAAGCATGAGTTGCCACCTGACGTTTTCGACGTGCAAAAACAGGTTGGGCAGCAGTTGCCGAAGCAACGTGTCTTGCTGCCAGATACTTGGGGCGCGCTTGAGCTGGGTGTACGTGCTTGCCAGGTCAAGGCGTGTCATGGTACCGCCAAAGACGTTGCATTCTCTGGCAATGGCTTCGTCGCTGAGCGCGTGTGGGGAAGCCGAGTTTGTGCGGTGGCCAAATGACAGCAGCACCACATGTGGCCGTGCTGTGCTGGCACCGAGGCCGCGGCTGGTGCTCTGACACGAACTCCGCGATGGTGCGGTTGTATCTGTGACAGCCTCGCTGGGGCCATCAGCAAACCAGGTCGACGGCACGGTGCTGGCCAGCAAGACGACGTCGCCACTGTGACCAACGTATTCGGAGAGGGCCTGGAATGACCCTAGCTTGGCTTTCTCAGTGGATGCGCCTTCCGATCGCTGGAAACGGGGTTCAAGGCCAATGCGCGTGCGTGCATGTATGTGTGAGTGATGTGTGTGATGTGTGGGTGTGTGACGCGTGTGATGTGAGAGAGAGTGTGTGTGTGTTGTGTGATGTGTGTGATGTGAGAGAGAGTGTGTGTGATGTGTGTGTATGATGTGTGTGTGATGTGCGTGTATGATGTGTGTGTGTGATGTGTGTGATGTGCGTGAGTAAATGAGGTGCGTGAGTAAATGAGGTGCGTGTGTGTGTGTGTGTGCGTGATGTGTGTGTGTGTGTGAACAGCAAGCGTACGATGCGATGCGCTTGGATCCAACAACACAACAACACATGGAAGTGCACGTCAGTATGAACCACTGCCTCCTCCCATGCATCATCAGCAGGGGTTTCCCCTTTGCAGCCCGTGACATACGTCGATGACGTGCTTGACAAGATCGCTAGTTGATGTCTCTGGAGCTTGTGTACGTTTCAGCACCACGCGATCCCTGTCGTACACGCAATAAACATGCATGCGTGTGTGTGCATGCACATGGGTCATGTAAGCCATATGGCATGCTATTGGCAACGGGAGCAAGAAATAACAAGGAGGAGAGATCAAGCAATAAGCAATCCTCTTTTGGGAGGAGACGTACTTGCAGGAGAAATGGACGGGGACAAGGGGTGCGGCTGCAGCGATGCTGTTCAACAACGCCGCGCACAGCTCCCGCGCCTGTGTCCGCCCAACATCCTGCTCTTGAAGCCGCACAACCACAGCAACCATTTTGGGCGAGCGGTTGTAGAATGTTTATTGGAGATGTTGCAAATCGTCTACAAGTCAGTGACATGAAACTGCTGTCTGTTGTTTGTGTGTCTATCTCCTCTGGTTGCATCTGTTGGCTTCCGCCTTGGCTCTCTTTCACACACACACACACACACACACACACACACACACACACACACACACACACACACACACACACACACACACACACACACACACACACACACACACACACACACACACACACCTCTCTCTCTCTTCCACACACGCACAAACACACACACTCATCCCTTCAGTTGTAACAAAGTGACATTGGTCTAACAGGCATGACGGCACGACGAGTGCACGTGTGGTGAATGGTGTCCTTCGTGCGTCTATGGTGACGTCGCGGTGGCGAGGACGTCGTCTGGGGAGACCCAGATGCTGTTGACGTGCCAGACCTTGGCCGAGGTGAAGGTGACGGTAGCGTTCTTGGCAAAGGTGCTGATCCCTGCCTGTGGGGCCTGGCCAAGCAGCTTGGATGTCATGGCCACCCGCCCGTCCATCCAGTATGCCTCAATGAACGTGTTGTCCGTGAACACGCGCACCTCGATTGTGTCGTCGCTGGGCAGCAGGCGCAGCTCCGCCTCCAGCGGCGCTGTCGGTGCCGGCCGCGGCGTGCGCACCCCCGAGGTGCACGTTGGGTTTTGCGGATTGTATGTCCACCCGCTGGCGTACTTCTGGCAGCAGGCTGCGTACAGTGGCCCACGCAAGACGTAGGTCCACGCGGCGCACTGCGGGTTGTCGAGGCACACCTTCTGGCACACGCGTGGGTCTGTGTAGTTGACGTTGGTGACGTTGAAGTCGCCCGAGGGCAGGTCGGTGTGCTGCATGTACGTGCCCAGGATTGGGGGCGGCAGCGGGGTATCGCCGGCGCTGATGCCGACCACCGCTGACGTGTTGCCGGTGGCCTGGTCCACCTCCACCTCCACATACACGCGCGTGCGCGGGGCGGAGGGGTCCTGGCTAGTCATGACGTCGACGCCAAAGGTGCACGTGGTGTTTGGGCGGCGGAAGACGACGACCACCTCGGACTGGTTGCCGCGCGTGTTGGACCACTCGCCCAGGTACACCTGGCCGTTGGCTGGGATGGCGGTGGGCTTGCTGACGGAGGCAAGCACGGCGCCGCGCAGCTGCTTCTGCTCCTCCACGGGCGAGTGCATGAGCTGCTTGAGGGTCGGGTGCCAGGTGACGTGGCGTGGAAGCGACTGCGTGGACGCGGGCGGGACGGTGGCCCAGCCAAAGTTGATGCGGCGGTCCTTGACGGGGTCGTAAAAATCCTTGGACGCATAGAAGTCGCCGTGATCAATCATGACCTGCTCGAAGCTGTACCCGGGCGTGGCCTGCCACGTGCCCGTGTGCCCTGGGGCTGCGTCCGTGTACGTGCCCACCTGCATCCAGTCCTTGCCCTCGTGCGAGGACTTGTGCACATGCGTCGGCAAGTTGTTGTTGTTGTTGTTGTTGTTGTTGTTGTTGTTGTTGTTGTTGTTGTTGTTGCATGTGCCAGGGTAGAGCTTGGGGAGGGGGAACAAGGAAGGGCACTCGCCCTGTGGAAACTGGGACTTGCCCACAGTGTACCACTCGCGAAAGTCGATGGAGCCGTAGACGACGCCGTCGTACGTGGTGAGGCGCCACTCGCCGTAGGAGGTCTTCCAGGCGGTGCTGGGGTCGCGCTGGGTGTTGTTGACAATGGGGTTGTAGGCGGGCTTTGTCCAGTTGGTGTAGAGCGGGTCGCTGGCGTTTGCGGGCACGGCAATGGCCAGGAGGGTGCCGGTCTCGCAGTTTGGGTACTCCTTCTTGAAGCACAGGCCCGGGTACACGATGACGGGCTTGCCGTCGACGATGGTTGCTGACCCCGTGTAGATGGCGTTGCGGTCGTAAGGCTTGTCGTTCCAGATGGCGACGGGGAGGTGTGCCCAGTGCACAAAGTCGCGGGAGACGGCGTGCCCCCAGTCCGGCCCGTTGCCCGGGTCGATGGCCAGGTGGTCCTGGTAGAAGAGGTGGTACAGCTTGTGCACGGGGTCGTAGAAAGGGCCGTTTGGGTCGTTCTCACCGCAGGTGGGGTCCATGACGTGGAACTTTGGCGCGTCCTTGAACGCTGGGCCGCATCGCTGGTGCGTGGGCCCACACGGTCCTCCCTCGCACTTGGATGCCGCCACTGGTCTGCTCAGCGTTGCCAGTGAGCACAACACCACCAGCCAGACCATCACCACCATCATCATCGCTGTCTGTGTTGTTGTTGTGCACGAATGTAAACATAACATAAACTATTCTGCATTGTGATTCCACGCACATTTATGAATTGATCGTTTTTCGCTGACTCATCGCTTTTTCGATCTGACGTGGCGCTTGGTGTGCGTCTATTTTCTGCCGCAAGCAAGCAAGCAAGAAGCAAGCCCCTGCAATGACGGTGGCTGACGCATTGATGAGCAGCGACGTCAAACGACAACAACAACCCCACCCAGCCAGCTAGCCAGCCGGTGTGTGCGTCATTTTTTTCCAATCGACGAACAAACAAACAAACAAACCCACCACCACATACCCCGTTTGTGACTCTCTTGTTGCGTCTCCTCTATCTCTCCTCTCTCTCCCTCCTCTCTCTCCTTTTGAACACCTCCCCCCCCCCGCCTCTACCCACCAGCATCTCACACGTTGCACCGGCGTGAGGCATGCCGCGGGGCCGCATGTTTCCTGCCGCCGTTGCGCGGGAACGCCGGCGAGAGAGCAACCGCAAGTCCCAACGCAACCGCAGGCAGAAGCAGAAGGAGCGCGAGGCGTTTATGCAAACAACGCTGGACTCGCTTAAGGAGGAGAACGAGGGCCTGTCGTCGCGCGCAGAGCGCTTGGAACGGCAACAGCTCGGCTTGAAGCGCCGCATCGCCCTCATCCAGGACGCCCTGCTCATGGCCTCCAACACAAGCACAAACACAAACACAACCACAAACACAACCACAACCACAAACACACACAACAACAACACAAACAGCGTCAGCAATGATGATGTGGTGGCGCCCGAGATTGGTGTGCAGCAGAGCAAACAACAGGATTGCGCCATGAACCTGGGCGAGGATATCCAAGACGCAAACACAAGCAGCGACAAGAACAACCACGCGTGTTCTGCGGAGGCCGACAGCCCCGCGTCTCAGGAGTCGTCGCCATCGCCTCTGCTGGCGTCTCTGTCGTCCTTGTTTGGCCTCAACAACGACCAACAAGCACAAGGAGGCATCATGCAACAACAACAACAACAACAACAACAAGCACAAGCAGGCATCATGCAACAACAACAAACACAAGCACAACAAGGTCAGCCATCAGCGTCGTCGCCGCTGGCTGCATTGTCGTCGTTCCTGGCGACAGGCTCGTCCACATCTGCGATGTCCGGTTTGCAACCGGCGGGCCTGCCTGCCTTGACGACGATTTTGCTGCTCTTGACGACCTGGGCGACCTTGGGTCCGATGCATGGCGGGGTCTTGAGCGGGGCCTCAGCAACACAGACCCTGCCTTCGACCTTTGCGATGGACACGCTCTTCCACCTTCCCCCTTCTTCACAGCCTCAGCAAGCGACGATGGCAACGACAGCATGTGGCGGTGCACAACACCCGCTCCCCAGCAACAGCAACAGCCACAGTCACAGTCACAGCCAGGCGCCAGCGGGGCCAGCTTCAGCGACAACGCATGCAGCGACAAGTGGTGGGTTGAAGCAGGCAACTGCGGCGGCGGCGACGACGACGCCCTCGTTGCCCTTCTCAATGGAGGAGATGACGGCTGTGGCGGAGACATTAGCTCACCAAGCGACACAGGCTCCTCTCCTCGCCCCACAACAACCCCCATCGCCGCAGACGGCCCAGAACTGTCATGGCAGTGGTGGTGATGATGAGGATGCTCACGGCCGTGTTGCTGATGACAATGACATTGACGATGACGATGATGTTGAGGATGTTGAGGATGCTGAGGGTGCAGCGGTGATCGGCGAGATGAATGGAGAAGGTGCAGGGCATGCACGGGAGGCAGCAGCAACAGCAGCAACAGCAGCAGAGGCGACGGCATCCCAGCGCCATCTGGCTGCAACAAACTTTGTGGTGCAGTCGTTGCTGACGGGCGTGCTGCGGCAGATGACGCCACATGTCCTGGCCCACGTGGTTCACGAGCAGCAGCAACAACAACAGCAGCAGCAACAGCAGCAACAATCGTTGCCTGCTTCCTCTTCTGTTGCAGCGTTTTGAGAGCGCGACTTTGTGGGGAAGGGCGTGTTGTGGTTGAAACATTTGTTTGTTGCCTGCGTGTGTGTGTGCGTTTGAAGTGTTGAAGGCATGCGCTTGTTACTTTCTTCTTCTTCTTTTCCTTCCGCTTAAGCAGACGCAGGAACAGAGCGTGGTGTGCGAGAGTAGTGGTGGTGGTGTATTTGGTTCTCATGCTGGCAACGGCTTCTTTAATGAAACGAAATGAAAAGGTTCGTGAAGGAAGGAGGAGGAGAGGAGAAAGGAAAGAAAGAGAAAAAGGAAGGAGAAAACAGACAGGCTTGCATGATGCAGCACGCAGTGTCGTGCATGTATGGTGGCATGCATGGTTGCGTGGAGAAGGAAAAAAAAAAACCTAAACGGGGGGGGGGGGGGGTGTCATGCAAGCGAGGGAGGTCATGTAACGTAACATAACGTAACGCACCGTGTCAGCGGAGGAAAAGTGGAAGGAGAACACCAGCAGGCACGGGAAGCAACGCGTGTGCGTGCCAGTGAAGTGGGAAGAAAACACAAGAACGAGGGTCACTCCCTTGTCTCTTACCCACTCCTTCAAGCGTCGGCGGTGAAGATTGGGCTACTGCTTGGTCTCCTTGTCTGCGTTGGCCTTGTCGTTGGCGGTGCCCTCCTTTGCGCCCTCCTCGTCTGGGGACTCTGGCAGGGTATCCACTTCAAAGAGGCCGCTGAAGCTCCAGCGGATGCCGAGCTCGTCCACCAGACAGCCGTAGTGGCCTCCCCAATGCTGCTTTTTCAGCTCCGTGACCACCGTGCAGCCGTTGGCCAGCGCACGCTTCCATGCAGGGTACAGCTTGTCCTCCTCAAACGACAAAAACAGGTTCATCGTCTTCACCGCAGTGGCTACGGAACAAAGATGAACCAGGAGGAAAGAAGCGGTGGTGTATTTGTGTGTGTGTGTGTGTGTGTGTGTGTGTGTGTGTGTGTGTGTGTGTGTGTGTGTGTGTGTGTGTGTGTGTGAAAGCAGTCTTTGACTGGCCAGGGCAGCACAACCAAAGATCGATATCACACTACACCACACACACACACTACACAACACATACACAATCATACAACACATCACACACTACACAACACCCACCCACCCACATACGCACAACACAACACCCACGCACAATCAATAACAACGCACATTCGGGCGCCTTGCTTTCGGTGTCAAAATAGTCGTCCATGAGGAAGATCCATGCGCCGTTGGCAAACTTGACGGCGCAGTGCACGCATTTCCCAGAGTCGTCCCGATAGGGCCCAAACTTGACCGTGGCACCAAATGCTGCCTTGTACAGCTCGATGGCCTTGTCCACGTTCCCCACGCAAATCTCAGGCGTCACCTTGGGGCTCTTCTCCAGCATGGCCTGCGTCGTCTTGGCCTTCTTCGCCTCCTGCTCAGACATGATGCTGATATGCTGGTGGGCTGGGTGGTAGGGTACAGAGGGGGGAACAACAAGCAAGCAAGGCAAGAAGGCAAGGCAACAACAACAAGGGAAGAGGAAGGAACGTGTTCTGGCAGTCCAGTGGCAAAGTGAGAGTGAACGTGTTTGTGCGAGACTCTTGATTGCTTGCTTGCTTGCTTGCAGGCTTTCTTTTGTTTTCGTCTTCGTCCTTGCAGGAAGGACCTTGCAGGCAAAAACATTGCGCACTTTTGCTACCCAAGTGTCATGGTGGATATCACATATCCATGTATGTCGAGTCAAACACACAGCAGCCGCGAAATTCGCACCCAAACCAAAACAGCAACGGCCACCACAGTCAACACCACGAAGCAACGGACACACAGACACACAGCCACACAGCCACACAGACACACAGACACACAGCCACACAGCCACACAGACACACAGACACACAGACACACAGACACACAGACACACAGACACACAGACACACAGACACACAGACACACAGACACACAGACACACAGACACACAGACACACATCACTTGTGACGACTACAACAGCGATGGACGGTGTGAGCAGCGTGTTTGCCAACACGTCTCGCCGCGGCGTCGGCTCCTACGAAGACCTGTACGTTGCCTACGTTTGTGTCGTGCGTGGATGGATCGAGCTGGGCGCGATGTGGCGGCTGTGCGCACGTGCGTGCGTGGATATGTGAACGTGTATGCGTGCGTGCGTAGACTCTTTGTTCGCAAGCTCGTAAACGTCTGGTGGTTCCACTCATGCGTTCTTTTGCACACACACACACACACTGCCTACGATACACTGAACGACTGCAGGATTCGATACAGGGATCATTTGCTCGACCGGCGTCGAAAGCGGAAGGAAAAGGAGCGCCAACTTGCTCTCCGCAACGCTCAACGAAGTGCACAACGCAACCAGTCCATCCTCCAGGTACACACTCGTCTGTTCACCCACGAAACCACACCGTACACACCGCACACACACACACACACGCACACACACACACACAAACACACACGCACACACACACACACACAAACACACACGCACACACACAAACACACACGCACACACACACACACACACACACACGCACACAAACACCCTTTTGTCAACGTTGTCTCACAGTGTACTGTCTGTTTGCACTGCACTCTGTGAAGGAATTGAGCACGCTCTCGCAACAGCTGGATGAACAAGTCAGCCACATCCAGCACCAGCGATCTGTACGTCAAACGGCGTGACTCTCTGAACCCTGTGTGTGGGTGTCTGCGCGTGCGACTTGTATGCATTCTGGGGCCTACCACATATGGCGTACTGCCGCCACACTCTGCGTTTCTCCTCCACGGTGCTCATCCTCCATTCTGAACACCCCCACCGCGGTGCTCATGCTCCACATCATCACGCACACCTCAAACAACAACAACAACAACAACAACAACAACAACAACAACAACAACAACAACAACAACTAAAACAACAACAACAACTTAAACCACCACCACCACCAACAACTTAAACAACAACAACTTAAACAACAACACAATGACAGGGAGTGGAGAAGGCCAATGGCACGTGGGACCCTCCTCTGCAGCGCACGGTCGCGTCGCCGCCGTGGGGTCCAGCCACAGACGCGCACCAGCACCAACAGCAGCCGCAGCATGCTCCGTCCTGGGCCAACTACCCACACACAATGCCGCCACAGCCATATGGCTGGCCGCCGTATCCATACATGATGCCCCCTTACATGCCGCCACCACCTCAGCAACAGCAGCAACAGCAGAATGGGCATGCCAGCCTGCGTAACAGCAGCGTGCAAACACAGCGGCCAGGCACAGGCAGTCGCCCGCCAACGGGCGGCAGTCGCAGCGGGGCGCACGTGCGCCCAGATATGGTTGCGCAGCAAACGCAGTTCCCAAGCCAACCACCCTCGCGCCAGCACAGCCCGCTCAAGCCTGCTCCCGCTTCCTCGTCTTCCTCTGCACTGCAACAGCAGCATCACGCCCCTGATGTCTGGACGGCGCCAGCAGCCCCGCACGTCTCAGATGCTGCGCTGCAGCACATGCAGGTGTGTGGCTGTACATTTGGTTACATCGTGTGTTGCGTGCTGGTGTGCTGGTGTGCACGAGTGTGTACTGTGGGCGTTGCTGGTGTGGGTTATGTGGAATGCGGCGTGTTTCTCTGCTGGCTTCTGTCAACAGCCACTTCCCTCAAACCCTGTCACCCTCTCCATCGTCCTCGGCGTCCTCATTCGCACCACCACCACCACCACCACCACCACCAACACCACCACCAACAACAGGCCGTGGGCCGGGCGGAGCTTGAGGAGGCCGGCATTGCGGCGACGGACATGCTTGGGGACATGCAACGCAGCAGCGAGGTGCTTGATGTCCGCGGGTTCACGCCAGCGATGCGTCGCCTCAAGCGCCTGCACGTCATTGAGCAGCACCAGCAGGCCGCCCGCTTGGAGGACGAAGTTAGAACAGCTGTGGTACGCCCCCAATATAGTGGTGGCGTCGTGGTGTGGCGTGGTGATGCGGCGATACGGCCGATGGGTGTTTGTAGATGCTGTGTTTGCTATGGCATCTTGCCTGTGTACGTACAGTCAGATATCAGCAGCCTTCTTTCCACACACACACTCTCACATACACACACATTCTCTCTCATACACTCACACACACACATTCTCTCTCACACACATACACTCACACACACACATACACTCACACACACACATAATCACACGTACACACATAATCACACATACATTCACATTCACATACATACACACCTCAATTTAGGAGTTGACGCTGCAGCATCAGGATGAAGAGGCGATGTTGTTTGCTGCGGAGCAAGATGGCAACGAGCTGCCCATGCTGAAGCAGATTGAGCAGCGCCACAACCCGCTGCTGGTGCAGTCTGTCTCCTCCGCGGTGCAGGCTGAGGACCAGCTGGGCATCGAGCCGCCCACCTCCGCATCGTTTACGCTGCGCTCTGTGCCCGCGTTTCCCACATCCGCATCGGCGTCGCTTCGACAACAACACGACGACGACGACCACCACGAGTACTATAACCACGATGACCAGAAACAGGAGCAGGAGCTGCAGCCTGATGCGGCTTACGACTCACGCGTGCGTGGACAACGCCAAGGGCAATACGAGCAACCACAGCAGCAGCAACCACAGCAGCAGCAACAACAACAGTATTCGAGCTCGCTGCGTGCACCACGAGGCGATTCTGCTGCGTCGTCACTGCAGCGCTCGATGGCAGATGATTCCATGCGCGGAGACTTTGCCCGCGTTGCACCCGCACCTGTCGAGCAAGGTGCGATGAGGATGAGGAGGAACGAACAATGCACATGGGTTGATAGTGGCGGCGATGATGCTGTTGTCATGTGATCCTCTCGTGTTTTATGTCACCCACTAGCTCACGTCCGCTCACCCTTTGTAACAACACACACACACACAAACACAACACACACACAAACACACATGCATACACACACAACAACAACAACACACAATGCACATCCCCACCCCCAAAACAAAAAATTCTCCCCGTGCTCAGGGGTGCGGTCATCGCTGCCGTCCGGCCGCCCGCCGCTGCCACAGTCTCCGAGTGCTGGCGGCGCTTCCCCAGCTGTTCGCACGCGCAGAGCACACGCACAACCACCACCACGCCACCGACACGACAGCAGCGATGATGGCGAGAGCACGGACGTTGCCGGCACCACCGAAGATGCCCACACCAACAGCAGCGGCAGCAGCGGCAACAATCGTCATCATCGTGGCCGTGGCCGTGGCCGTGGTCGTGGTGACGGCGGTGTTGATGAGGTGCAGCCACTGCAGGATGAGCGACACCAGCACGCGAGACGCGCGTGGGGATCTGTGCCATCGTCCCCGCTCACACGCCGCGGTCAGCCCCCGCAGCAGGCGCACCCGGGCTACGAACAGCGCGAAGGCGACCAACACCAGCAGCAACCACCGCAACAGCAACAACATCAGCGTCAAGGGTCGCGTGTGTCCCAAGAAGACGCCATGCGTCTGCTGTCACCGCACGATGCACACAGAGTGCACTCCAAGGAAGACCTGGACGCGTTTACACGGCTCGTGGGCTCCCTCTCGCCGTCCCCTCAGCGCGGGTCCTTTGCATTTCCCGATGGCGGCGCCGCAAACGCCCTGGATACGCCAACATCGCTACCTGGGTCAGTTATCGACGTCGTTGACGCGTCCCCGTCCTCCCGCCATCCAGAAGACACCATCCAACACCGCCAGCAGCAGGGATACAACGACACGTTCACGGGTCGCGGTAACAGTGGTGGTGGTGGTGATGGGCGTCGTGGTTACGATCCGTCCACGTTGGCAGAGGTGCCACCGCGCCGTGACGGTGCTCAAGTGTCGTCATCGGCAGCAGCGCCGGCCTCCACCGCCGTCATGCGGGATGAGCGGGCGTTATCACAGCACCACGCCAGCGGGGACACGGAGCCATCGTCGGACACCACCCCGCTTGGCAGTCGCCGCGGCCGCAAGAAGGCGCGCGGTGTTGGCGGTCTCTTCCGCTTCCTCAGCCGCTCCCGGTCCCGGTCCCGCTCACGCACAGACACACACGCAGCAGACAGCTCTGCTGACGGTGGTGGTGATGGCAGTGATCGTGGGGTGACGCTGCGTGTGCCCTCTGGGCGCAGCGGCGTGCGTGGCATCTCTCGCTCCATGCCGCCACCGCGCTCGCCATCACCATCTGTATCGCCCTCGCCGTCATTCGTTGGGCGCTCACGGGCCAACAGCTTCGACTCTGTCGGGTCCAACGCATCGGCGCTGTCCAGCCTGTCGTGGCGCGAGCGACGGCAGGTGCGACGAGAGGCGAAGAAGCAAGCGAAGGAGCAGAAGAAGATGGAGAGGGGAGCGATGAAGGAGCAGGCGTTGGAGGAGTTGAGGAAGAGGCGTGAGGAGAAGGAACGCGCAAAGGCAGAGAAGAAGGCGGAGAAGAAGGCAAAGAAGCAGCAGAAAAAGGCAAAGAAGGAGAAGCAGAAACAAGGAGTGCCAGACAGTGACCACGGCCATGATGATGATGATGTCGACGTGGCTGCAGTGCCACCGGACAACCGTGATGGTGGCGACGACGGCCATGGTGTACGTGGCCGCGACCTTCACTCTGTTCCTGCCTCTCCCACGCCTTCTAAGGTCAGGCTGGACCTTGTGCTGTTTGCCAGTTCGTCCTGTGTATCTCCGTGTGTACGTGTGTGCGTGTGCGTGTGCGTGTGTGTGTGCGTATGCGTGTGTGTGGTGTTGTCTGGCATCTCATCGCTCCTTTGTGTGTGCGTGCGTGTGTGGTGGGTGGTAATGCCGGAATGCTCACCTACTTCTCTGCTTCGTATTTGTGCCCTTACACTGTGCGCGTTCGCCTTCGGTGTTTCCGATCGTGCAGAAGCGAGGACGCATCAGCCGGCTCTTTGGCAGGGTGAGAAAGCTCAACAGCAAACAAGTACAAGCACATACACATGCGCCTTTGCCGAACCTGTTTCTCCCTTCACGTTGGTGACAACACCACAAACATATATCTTCATACACATACTCACACACAACTGCGTGATGCGCACGCGTGACGCACACACACACACACGCACACACACACACACACACACACACACACACACACACACACACACACACACACACACACACACACACACACGATAGAGGAGTCGCTCCAGCTCGCGCGACCGCGCAATGTCCTCATCATCGGCAGCCGCAGGTGCACACCGCCAGCCGTCGCCATCACCGCCACCATCGCCGCGAACACGAGCATCACAGGAGCACGAGGCTGAAGGACAGGGAAGAGGTGCAGCGGTGAGGGAAGCAGGGAAGCGCGAAGGGCTTGTGCGTGGCCGTGCTGCAAGCGATGAGCGTGGTGACCACGACGACAAGCCCCAACGACCCCCTCCTCCCCGCATACAGAACCAGCGCCAACCACAGCAGCAACAGCAGCAGCCACAGCAGCATCAGCGTCCCTCTGCAGGGCGCATTGGCGCGTCCTCCATGTCGACACCAATCAAACAGCAGGACGCATCTGTGCGGCCACATGTGCTGGCTCACCCCGTCCGTGTTGTTGGGATCGAGCGTGTGGACGGCCGGTTTGGTGTTCGCATGGTGGAGCAGCCGACGCGGGAGGGCGTGATTGCCTCCTTTATCAGTCACGTCGGACCCAATGCCCGCTTCACGCCCCCATCTGAGCCGCTATTTATCGGAGACAGGATCCTGGCTGTTGGCGGTGTGCCGTGCGACGCGGCCACGCCTGCACAAGTTGCCAGGTTGCTGCAGCAGGCCAAAGGCCCGCGGGTGCCCGTCAAGGTTGTGATTGATCCTGACGTGAGGCAGGCGCTCACGAGTGCGGGCTCTGCGCTACCTGCGGTCAACGACAGCATTGTGAGCGCTTCCACCATCCACTCACATCACTCCCACGAGAGACCACAACAGCAGCAACGGCAGCGAATGAGTGACGACGTTACAGCTGCACCGGTTGGGATGCGGGACAAGCAAGACGCTGGCGCTGCGCGTGTGTCGAGCGATTCAAATGCACGCATGAATGCCAGCGCGCCCCAATCCATGCCGCAACAACAACAACAACAACAACAACAACAACAACAACAACAACAACAACAACAACAACAACAACAACAACAACAGCAGCAGCAGCAGCAGCAGCATGATGATGATGATGGCGATGTGGCGCAGAGAAGTGTGGATGATGCGTTGGAGCTGATGGCTGGCATGGATGATGTGATCAGTGACATTAGTGATGTCAGCGACGCTGAAGGCATCGATGCGCCCGCAGTAACAGCACACACCGCCCATGACCATGCAACAGCAGCAGCAGCTGCTGCACATACTACCAGCGACCATGAACGTGCTGGTGGTCCTGAAGCTGTAAACACGGCGCCGCAACAGCACGCCACGCACCTTTCGCAGCGGCAAAAGGACACTGGCGCACAGGCAACGAAACCAAGTGGCCAGCCGCCAGCGTCGTCGTCGTGGATGGCACTCGATGGCAGTGACAGTGACAGCGACAGCGTTTCTGCAATCGAGGAGGGCGAGGTTGTTGTGTCTCCACAGCGACAGGACAGTCACAGACACAGTCATAGCCGCAGTCACAGTCACAGCCGCGCGGATGACGGAGAAGAACGAGGAGGTGTACGTGCCAATGTTGGTCACCCTGTTGGCAGCAGTGTTGAGGACGATGATGAGCAGTCGGCTGTGTCACCGCCGTCATCTGCGCACAAACCCGCACCAAATGACGCTTCCCGCATTCCTGAAGCGAGCGCAGCCAGCCAGACGGCGGCGGTGCCATCGTCACTCGCCACTGGTATGGGCATGTGGGGCATGGAGCTGTCCTCCTCATCTTCGTCGGGCGATGACGAAGATGAGAACGCCGATGGCCATGATGAGAGCGGGCAGCATGCGACACGGGGCCAGCGCGCTGTGGGGAGCGATGTCGACTCCTCCTTCACTTTTGGCGAGCAGCAGCAACAGCAACGTGACCAGCAAGAGCACGAGCAAGAGCAAGTGCAGCACGAACACGAGCAAACGTGGCAGCATGAGACAGACGATTCGCTCATGTCGGAAGGCAAGGAGACAGGCAAGCGCGCGTCCAGCGGGCGAAAGGGAACTGCGTTCTCCTTTGATGATGATACTGGTGGCCGGGGCGATGCTGGCGATCACCCCTTTGTCCATGCTGCTGCGCCAACCACCGTCGGTGCCGCTGCTCTTGTCACTGAGGATGCCATGCACATGCAGTTCGGCAGACATCACGATGGTGAGGATGACCCATCGTCCCAGCCGCAATCACTGGCGGCAGAACCGTCGTCCACACCGAAAGTTACAAGCTCGTCACCACGACACGAGCGGAACACGGAAGAAGATGACTTTGACTTTAGCGACGATGTTGGTGACGCTGAGCAGCATCATGGCGATGGCAGCGGTGCACGCGATGCCGCACTGCACGACGGCACGACACAAGGGTCACCAGCGCACTCGGATGAGAGCGAGGAGAGCGACTTTGACACGTTCACGCTGTTCCAAGCGCCCAAGCAGCGCACAGTTACTGCTGCTCCTGCTGCTGCTGCTGAGGCGTCAGTGACACGGCCCGTTGTGCATGCCATCCCCACCGCTGCTGTTGCGCACAGCGACGACGATGACGGGGAGCCCGCGTCTCCAGATTCATCGTTTGATGCGGGGACTGCTTTTGCATCTCGCGAACAGCAGCATCAACCACAGCACCAGCAGCAACAGCAGCATCAACCACAGCACCAACCACAACAGCAACAGCAACAGCACCAACAGCAGCACCAACAGCACCAACAGCACCAGAGCTTTGGTGCAAGTGGAGGTGACTGGAGCGACGATGACGACAACAACAACGATGATGATGACGAGGACGCTGCCGCAGTTGCGTCTGGCGATGACCCGTTGTATGGCATTGTCTTGCCCGGACGAGCAAAGGCAAAGAACACCGTGCTTGCAGGCAACATCATCGGGGGTCGTGCGGACGATGGTGGCAGTGACGATGACCTCATTCCATCGCTTAAGACACACACAGCCCCACGCACAGCACCGCATGACCCAGCGCTCAGCGGCCTGGGCAATGATGGTGCGGTGGCAGCTGGCGATTCCGACACAGACTCGCTTGATGAGTTTGGCGGACAACTTGGTGGGGGACATCAGGACACCTCCAATACCACCAAGGACACCAACACCAACAAGGACACGCGCGCATCCGCAAGTGGGGTTGGTGGCCGTGTTGCTGTACAACGGCAGAGCGACCAGCAACGACAACAGCAGCATCAGCGGCGTCAGCAGCTGCAGCAGCATGATGAGAGTGCTGATAGTCTGCTGCACCATTCGCCGACGACAGCAGCGCCTGTTGTGCGCGGGACGATGATGGGCGCCGATGTCGATGACGATGATGACGACAGCGACAGCGGATCCGACTTTGGCATGGCGTTTGGAATGACACCGCCAACACGGACCAGGACGGCCGCGACCAAACCAGGCACTGGCCCGCACGCACCAGCAGCCGCAGCGACGACGGCAGCGCATGACAGCAAGACAACCGCTCATGCTGCACCAGGTGCTAACCACGATGACGATGACAAGGACACCTTGTCGCAGTCCATGTCCTCCTTCGACGATGGTGTCGACATGATGCAAGAAGCCGCCGAGCACCTTCGTGTAGCATCGCCCGTTGGGCGCAGCCCAGGCGGTAATCGCGACGATCATGATCATGATGATTATGGCGGTGACAATGGTGGTAACGTTCGCGCGCAGCCGGGCGGGAAGAGTGCGGTGGACATGAAGCGAGCGCTGGAAGGCGAGGTGGTGGACATGCCATCCATCGCACCAGTCACGCCCGTGTCACGTGAGGAGCGGTTTGGGCTCGTGCCCTCCTCCGAGAGCGAAGGCAGCGACGATGGTGGTGCTAATGTTGATGTCAGTGACGGTGACGGTGCGAAGAGTCAGGCGAGGGCAAAAAAGAAGAGCAAGACGAAGAAGACAAAACGCGACAAGAAGGGCTCGGACAAGCCATCAAAGGGGCGATCCCTGTTTGGTTCCAGGAGAAGGAAGAAGGAGCAGGAGCAAGACCTCAAGCATCACAGCAGTGATGATGACGATGACGAGGATGATGACGACTACAGTGACGGCGAGAGTGGCGATGATGATGGCGGAAGGGGCAAGAAGAAGGGCAAGAAGGAAGGCAGCAAGCGGCGGGGACCGCTTGGGTGGCTGTCGCGATCCAAGCGTGGAAGCAGCCGCAGCAAAGACGCCCGGAAGACGAAGAAGAAGAACGAGCAAGAAGAGGAGGAGAAGCGAGAAGCAGCGGCATCGGAGCGTGAAGAGAAACAAGTGGAGGCGCATATGGGCGCAGATGCTGCGACACACACCCAGCAGCAGCAGCAGCAGCAGCAGCCGAAGCAGCTGAAGCAGGCAGGCGGACAGAGTGACGATGACACCACCACAGATGACAGCGACGCACAAGTCGCTGTTGCCGCTGTTGGCGGAGAGCAAGGCGTGGCAGACACCTCCATGAACGATTCGATGATTGCGCGCACAAAGGAGGACCTACGAGCAGCGCTGCGTGCGCTCATGCGCCGCTTGCGTGCAGGCGACCTTCGCCTGACGTATCTTGATCTGGTGTATCCGCAGCACGCAGCCGAGGACATGATGGACGACGTGCAGGAGGTGGTGAGCAAGGCGGCCGCGGGCCTGGACCTGCGGCAGGTGAACCTGGGTCTGGCGTGCATGGCGCTGTCGTTTGCCGTGCACGAGCTTGGGCCGGACTGGGTGTCGCCTGCGTTTGTGCGGCGCATTGTCGGGCCGAACCCGTCGCTGGTCGAGACGGCCCTGCTGTCGACGCTGGCGCCTGAAGACGAAGAGATGGTGGCGTCTGTGCTGCAGTTCCTGGGGGAGATCGCCTGTGTCGTGTCGAGGGATGCTGGCACGACCAACTTCGACACTGGGTTTGCTGCTGAGAAGAAGAAGAAGAAGCGCCGGTTCCGTCTGCTGCGTCGCCGTCGTCGTGGTCGTGATGGCGATGGCAGCGGCAGCAAGGGTGCAGATGACGAGCAGCAGCAGCAGCGCATGCGCCAAGGCTCGCTGCTCTCCCCCGTGTTCAGCACGGCGAGCACGGGCGGTGGGGACGAAATTGAGAGCGACCGCGCATCTGCCGTCTCCTTTGCATCCACGCGCGGAAACGCCCCCGGTCTGGGTGACGCGTGCAACCAGATTGCAACAGCGGCCGCGCCGCTGATGTTGCCCGTGGATGAGGTGGCCAGCATAGATGTGGAGGACTTGGACTTTGAGGAGCAAGGCACAGTGTTGTCGCGTGGTCTTCGCGTTGCCTCAGCGCTCGAGCACCTGCTTAATGTCGCTGGTGGTGCTGACAGCAGCGATGATGACGATGATGATGAGGGTGGCAGCAATGGAGGAGATGGACTGGGGCCATCACTGACGGCGAGACAGCAGAGCGAGCTGCACGCGCTGTTGACGGACGATTCCATGGCGCTGGTGAATGCTGTGCTGCTGTGCAACAACGACGAGTACGATGGACTGGCCGACTGTCTCGTGACGGCGTTTGTGTCCCGCGGTCCGCAGTTTGTGTATGCGCTCATTGATGCGTGTGTGGCCGGCGAGGTAAAGCAGGCGACAGGCCACAACACCATCCTGCGAAGTCAGACGCGCACGCTGCGTGTGCTCCGTGCACTCTGCCGTGCGCTTGGCAGCGACTACCTCGGCAAGATCATCACACCAACGCTCGCTGCTGTGCGCACGAGCCCAAGCATGTTTGATCTCACCTCCGACCAGCGTCGCTCGCAGAAGAAGCAGCGTGAAATCGAGCGCAACGTGGCGGCGCAGGTGCAGTCGCTGCTGAATCGGCTGTACGAGACGGTGACAGAGGTGCCCGCATTCCTTCGCTACATCCTCTACAAGCTGCGTGTGGAGAGCAATGTGGTGTTCCCTGAGCTTGACCAAGGTGCTGTGCGTGGATTCTTCTTCCTCCTCTTCATCAGTCCTGCTCTCTGCAACCCCGTCGACAACCACATTACCGGTGTGTAGATGATGAATGTGGGTGTGTGCGTAGAAGAGGTTGTGCGTGCGCGCGTGTGTTGGTACGTGTGTGTGCGTGTGTGTGCGTGTGTTTGTGTTTGTGTGTGCGTGTGTGTGTGTGCGCGTGTGTTTGTGTGTGTGTGTGTGTGTGTGTGTGCGTGTGTCTGTGTGTGTGTGTGTGTGTGTGTGTGTGTGTGTGAGTGTGTGCATGTGGATGTGTGCGTGGATGTGTGGATGTCCGTTGTGTTTGTCTTCCGCGTCAACTCACATTTACTCGAATTTCGTTCGCGCTGTTTGTGCGTGACCTGATGCAATTGCTTGCAAATTCTTGCCAGCGACGCCTCTGAACGACACGCAATCGCAGGCGGTGCTGGTGCTGTCGCAGTTGCTGACATCATCCAGCAACCATCACGTGTACAGCGCGAATGTGCAGCCGTTCATGGCAGCCTTCAACGAGCTCATTGCCACGAATCAGGACTCGCTCGTGTCGTTCATGGATGCCGTCAGCATGCCACCCACGTCCACCGAAGTCAACGAATTTGTACGTTGCTTGCGGGATTGCTACAGCTGTTGTTTAAGTTGTTGTTATGGTGGAGAAAGGATGGTGTCAGAAACCTGATGTGACCGCTGTCACGTGTCAGAACGTGTTACACGCGAGCTCGCTTGTGTTGCATGTATTTGCGTTGGTGTGTTCAATTCGATCAAGCAGTTTTGACTCGTGTAGAGAGGCACATACTCACATGCTTCAAAATCACACACGTGTGTTTTCATCTTGCAATGTTTTATGTGCGTGTTATGCTGTGTGTGTGTGTCATAGGGGGAGACGATGGCGCAGTTGTCGGACGCGTGCGCGGAGTCGCTGCCTGCGTCCATTCGCTACATTGCCGGATTTGTCAAGCACCACAAGGCGAGCGTGTTTTCTGTCCTGCGCAAGGAGACGGTGCCTGCGTCCCCACAGGCGCGCATTGGCCCACGTGCTGTTCTCAAGTTTGTCAACCACTGCGTCCTTGAGCACGCGCTGAGCTGTCGTGCTGTTGCTGCGCAGGTCGATCCACAGCAGATTCCCCTGCACACCATCACCAAGGTGTGTGAGCATGTGTGTGTGTGTGTGTGCTTGTGCTCGTGAGTGAGCATGTGTGTGTGTGCTTGCTTGTCCTCGTGAGTGAGTGTGTGAGTCAGAGAGAGAGAGAGTGTGTGTGTGTGTGTGTGTGAGTGTGAGAGAGAGTGTGTGTGAGTGATTGAGTGCGTGTTTGTGTCCGTGTGTGTATGCGTGCGTGTTTGTGCCCGTGTGTGTGAGTTTGCATGTGTGCGTGCGAGTGTACGTGTCTGCGCACTCGTGTTTAGTTTTGTTCCTTTGTGTATGTGTTTGCACTCACCCTTGCCCGCCCACGTGTTCATCGCCACCGCAGGTGCGTCGCACGTTCTCCGACCGTCTCATGCGCCGAAGCTCAAGCAGAAAGGGGTCTTTCAAAGTCAAGTAGGGGCACAGCGCCATGGAACGCGCCTGCACTGCCCTGGCTGATGCTGGAGGCATGACACTATAGCGTTGGCTTGCTGCAGCCAGTGTGATGATGCGTCGAGTTGGGATGAGAGGGATGAATGTTCATACATGTACAAAAGTTGGTCGACTTGTTCTTCACGCCGTTGCTGCTGTACATTCGAGGTTTGGGGAGTGTGAGTGGTGCTGTAAAAGGTTTCTCAGCTGGCTTTTGTAGCTATTGCACATGCCAGTGATGGTTGTGATTTTTACTTTGATGCAACAGGTCGTGTTTGGTGGTCACTTATCAAGGCGAGGCGGTGTGTGCGTGTAGGTGTGCTTTGCTTACATGATATGTACATCATTAACAAAAAAAAATGACATTGAAAATAAGAGCGGGGAGGACGCGGTGAGGGGATGGTGTGTGCCAGAGATGATGCGTATTGCATACGCGTGCGTCTAGTTATACACACGTGTGTGTATATGTGTGTGTGTGGTTTGTGTGTGTGTGTGTATGTGTGTGTGTGTGCGTGTGTGTGTGTGTGCGTGCGTGCATGTGTGTGTGTGTCACGTGCTGAAGAGGTCGTGAAGGAGAGGGATGTTGGCGATGAATCGAAGATCAACGCCACAGATCTGCAGCAGGCTTTCATAGCCCATCCTGACGAGGGATGGAAGTAGAAGCGACGTATGAATGTATGACAAGCGGGAACGAGAAGTCGTGTATGAGTATGTGTGTGTGTGTGTGTGTGTGTGTGTGTGTGTGTGTGTGTGTGTGGGTGGGGGGGGAGGTTGCAGCAAACACATGTATGTGTGTGCGTCGTGCTGATAAGAGAGTTCTGAGCAGCACACCATGTTGCAGGTTGCAGGGTCTTACTGGCGTTTCCCGTTGGTCGAGATCCGCACTCCATTCAGGAACACGGGGCGCTTGCCCTGTTGTGGTTGAAGAAGTGGCGTTGGAAATACAACGACATGCCACGTGCGCTTCAATAAGCATGCATGACCACAGGCATTGCTCTGCTTCAACACCATCATCGCCACCACATCAGCACCAACCACAACACCAGCACCAGCACGAGGACCAAGAATGAAGGCCGACCTTGTTGTAGCAGTAGAAGAACGAGTCGTGTTTGAGTTTGATGGTGCAGTGCCAGCGGGAAACAGCGGATGTGTGCGGGAAAATGCTCAAGTCAATGTCCACATCGCCCTCAGAAGACTGGCGACCAATCACAATCTGCACATGTGCATGTGTACACGTGTGTGTATGTGTACACGTGTGTGTACATGTGTGTGTGTGCAGAGGTGAACCACCGGGACACAGAACAGCCACAAGATCACACCACCAGCACCACCAGCACCACCAGCACCACCTTGACGACCACTGCCAGTGCAGCGCACCTCCTTGTATGTCATCTGGAAGGCGAAGTTGTCTGGGCCGATGATAACGGCGAGACTCTGCGGCTCAAACTGGTGCTGGTGATCAGTCGGCAGCGGACACATGTCCACAAGCGTCTCCATCCCCAGTGCATGCACCCCTGAGTCTGGTGGTGTGCAGTGACACGTGAGGTACGGTGAGTGTGTGGAGTGTGCGTGCGCGAGTGAGTTTGTGTGCGTGAGTGAGTGTGTGTGTGCGTGAGTGAGTTTGTGTGTGTGAGTGAGTGAGTGAGTGAGTGTGTGTTCGAGTGTATCCGTGGTTGTGATTGTGAGTTTCTGGTAGTGAGTGGTCGCACACGTTTGCTCCCACGCACCCCTCCCCACATGTCCAACCCCACCCCCTTCCCTTCAGGTCATGCCTCACTTCGCCACGCCTCGAGTTGCGCCTCGAGCATGCGTATCTTCGTCTTCTCCTTCTGGTCCATCCGCTCCAGCTCCCGCCGCAGCGCTGCGCTCGGCGCCGTCCCTGCACGACAAAGTGGTGGTGGTGGTGGTGGTGGTGGTGGTGGTGGTGGTGGTGAGGATGGGCAAGATGTGAATGTTGCAACGTGTGTGTGTGTGTGTGTGTGTGTGTGTGTGTGTGTGTGTGTGTGTGTGTGTGTGTGTGTGTGTGTGTGTGTGTGCGATAATGTGGTGCTGCTTGCCAAAGCAACGACAGGACGACACGTCCTCGAAGACAAGAAAACATACGCGCACGCGCACACGCAGACATGCGCCAGTGCTGCGGACCTGCTTTGCCTTCGTCGACCGTTCGCACGACCTCTTCGTGCACTTCTGCAAACTCCGGCGCATCGCTGGTGGCGCGCAGTGCATTTGTGTTTGTTTGCGTTGAGCGTGCGTGTGTTTGTGTCATGAGAGTTGGAAGGTGGACAGGGCGTGATGGTATGAATGTGAGGTTTTGTGAGGCACACACACATACAGAGAGACACACAGACACACACGCACACGCACACGCACACGCAGGCGCACGAGGACCAACAACAACAACAACAACAACAACAACAACAACAACAACAACAACAACAACAACAACAACAACAACAACAACAACAACAACAACAACAACAACAACAATAAT